GGGCATCTTTTGTATTTGAATGTGATAGAGTTTTTGTGCGTCATTGAGGTGAACTAGGTTTCCAGTTCAAATCACACCCCCATTACTGTTGGTAGATTACAGTGACATTTAAGGCTGTGTCTGACATTGTCCTGGTTGACATCTAAGGGCACTTAAATGGTGCTCGTAGCATTAGCCTGATGAGATATTTCAGGATCAGGAGCCCAATTGCCTGTGATAACGGTTCACTGGCCCAAGGCTGTGGTCGGCTCTCATATTTGGACTGGTGCCAATCCAGCGCTTGCAATCTATTTTGAGAGTACCTCCATTTCTCACTCTATTCATGCGTTTTCTATAAGTAAGATAGTGCTGCACTATATATATATATATATATATATATATATATATATATATATATATATATATATATATATATATTTTTTTTTTTTTTTATTCATAATTTTTTGGCTTACTAAAAACAAAAACAGCTTTCAGTATAAATTTCCTCAACACTGACAAGCCAAACTTTTAATAATTGTCATTTGAAACAAAAAACCTGTCTCAATTCTCCCCCAAAACATGTCTTTACTAACAGAGGCTTGACTGTGGACATGTCTATTAGAATCTGCTGATCCCTGACTATTAGAAATGTCAGAATCATGATCTTGATAAAAAGCGTGACTACTGGTATTTGCATAGCCCATGTAAAATATTCTGTATATTTGCCTGCATTTACCCCCCATCTCCACACAACAAACTGAAAGCACTTTGTTCCACCTTGTGATGTCATGTGGCAATACAGGAAGTGCCCAACTATGTTTTTAAACTCCACACACTTTCACTAGAATCTTTTGGACAATTTCAGCTCTGGAATTGCCAAGCTCTACTGAATTTAAGGTAAAAGGCAGCTGTTAAAATACCTCTTCACAATATTACAAGATGGAACAGCATTTTGAGCTTTGGAGATGTGAATGAAACAAAACACCGCTCCAGGTAACAGCGTTCTAACATGGCTTAAAGCTCACAAGAGTCCATGTCTAACAAAAGAGTGCTTTCATGATGGCATCAGTCAAAGTCTATATTGAATTTTGAGCCTTTTTCTTAGTAGCAAAATTTTAGTATTGTCACTCCATCCATGTTTGTGTAGATTCTGGCAGCCCTCCACAGTCCAATTTCTCCTCTATAGTCTCAAAAACAGACAAAAAAAAATTGTGAATGTTAACTTTTTGTCCAGAAACACACTATAAAATATGATACAACTCTTCAGATGAAAACAACTTTTTTCAGTTACATAACCTAAATGTGAATCTGTGGAAAATACAACCCGAGGCGTATTGTCTGCATCTCCATCTCTAAATCAAGCCTATATCCACGCTGCTGGGGTTTACCACTATTGTCTTTCCTTTAATATCTTGTGTGGGTTCGTTGAGTTAGCTGCTCTGGTTTTCCTGGTGTCTGTGCGGAGAGGGAGATGCGCTGTGGTAATTCGGAGCAGACTGAGGAACATCGTGACTCATTGTTGCAGCGGCTTCACTCTCTTCAGCCCACTCACACTCACACCATCCTCTGCTCCAACTCTCTCATTCTTAGGCTCATTTAGACCGGGTTTACTCTCATGTTTGGATGGTACAAATTAGTGAGGTTATTCTTCACATATTACTGCAGGGGTGGCATTTAATTAAATCGATGAGGTACAGTCTGATGCAATGATTACTTTTGCTTACGTAATTTCGCTTTTATTAGTCGTAACATTCAATTAATACAACATAAGGTGAAAATGATATATGAATACAAAGATATTTTAACGCTTAACATGTAGAGATGTGAGATGTATTAAAAATGTATAATTTGGTTGCTTTGGAGATTTATAATTGATTTATTAATGTTTTGGTAAAATGTGCCCATAGCTATGAACAGTCATTGAAAAGAAGAGTCTATATTATATTTGTGTATAGCTCAGTGATGGAGTACTAATTGGATAGCCCTCTTCAGCTTCTCTGTATCTTCCTCAAGCATAATCATGTTTCTTTACCATAGCATCTGTTTCCCTGAGCCTTCGTGTTTGAGGCTAAGTGACTGTGATGTAGTGCAATAATGGAGAAGCCTCAGAGGTAATCCCCCCAGTGTAAACATTGAAGCTCTGAGCAGCTCCGGGCTCATCCTCAGATTTAACTGTACAACACTTTTACAATGGAAGCACGAGGAAATACATATGTGCCTGTAAGACCTCTAACCACTGACTACAGAGGGACATAATCTGTAACTCAACTTTGATTACTGTTAATTCCAAATTGTGTGTTTTTTAGGGCTGGAATAGACTAAATAAATTCTTTATGCTGCCACACACTACAAGAGAATTTGCCCGATTTAGGCTGTGATTTGCTTCTCCACAAGTTCAGGGAGGCATGACCCAAATTTGTGTCTTTGCGTGTGATTTTGAAGATGTGTGACTGTGAGCTGCTTTGTCAGATTGTAACCAGTAAACATTAGCAACACTAAGGTAACAGCCACTTAAACTGAGCGTCGAGCAGAGGAGTGACGGACACAGAGGTGCAAGATACAAGCTCGGTAAATGGTGAAAATAATTATTACTCACTGCTCGTAAAGTTGTAAATTTAAACTGCAGCATCTTCTCATCCACATTATCCATAGAATTTGTCCTATAATCCAGTTTGGCACATTCTTTAAAAGTAAAAAGGCAAGAGTAGTTCCTTAACTGTGCCTGTGTTCACATCCACACTGCACACGGATTGGGATAAAGTTGCAGATTAGCAATAGTGACTTTATTTCCAGTGTACTTTATTTAACAGTTCTATCTTTGATCTAAACTAGAAGTGCAGTGCAGTGCTCTGATCTTTGAACACTTAGTCTCAAAGCGAGTGGTTTTACTGTAGACAGGAAACGGCAGACGCAACGTTTGCGCACAACAGTGGTGCGCAGCCGCTGCCGTCTTTGAGATCGGAGATTTAAAATCTCATAAGCTTCTCCTCATGTCTGTCATGTGTGCTTTTTGTCGCATGTTTAAAAATCATTTGAGACAAAAATATCCTGTAGTGTGTACGGCTGCATTAGTATTTCGATATTTTTGCACACCCCTAGTAGTGTGTGGCGGCCTTAAGTCAACTAAACCAAACCAAACTGATTAATCGACTAATTGACCCTAATAATTTTTCATGGTTCGATAGTGACATCTTCTGCACATAAAACAAACTGGGAAGTCAGTTTACAAATATTGAATAATTCATGTTCAGAGGGGATGTTATTGTTTTAGTCAAAGCAAAACAGTTTGGTTACGTAATTGCTAAAGATGAAAAATACTGCATAATATTATGTAATACAAATAGTACTAATTTATACTGGCAGGCAGTAGAGGCAATAACCATCATTACAGGAATCTTATGATGGTTGCATAGAGATTTCATTACAGTTTTTACAGTTACATGGGAGTTGATTGTTGGTAAACTACAAATCCTCCCACTGGTGCTGCTCACTGTTCTTGGACTTACTGTAATGGGGAACATTCAATCAAATGCCTTTTCCTGAAAAGTATGATTATGTCCCATACTGACCAAAATACTGTATTGCTGTCCTGGAAAAGCTGGAAAACTGAGCCTGGAGTGCTTGGATGTGGCTTTAAATAGCCTCAGGAACCCTGTATTACCAGTCTATGTATGTATGCGCGTGTGTGTGTGGTGCCCAGGATTGTAATGTAACGTAGTGCTGACTCAGACTGCGTGCGTCAACAGCTGCTGCCTTCAAGAGAGCGAGAGGGAGAGGGGGAGAGTGAAAGGGGGAGAGACATAGAGAGAGCACGGGAGAGGAGGAAGCGCCTGGGGAGGGGGAGGGCACATAGCTGCTGTGTGGGAGAGTGAATAGGTTAGATTAAAATAGAGCGGTACAGATACATGCTTTCTCTTTTCTCATCATGCCTTGCTGCCCATCGCTTTGACATCTCTTTGTTTCTAAAAGTAGATTTGTCGGACTTTGTTGTCTCAAGAGAGTTTGTAAATAAAATCCTATTTATAACCAATGACACTGTTTTTATTACTCTTAGATGTAATATAAGAATTGTGATCGTAGCATGAACTAAAAGGAAGAATAACTAAAAGGAAGTATTTGCTGTAGTCATTGAGGAAGTAGTAGATTTGGAAATATAGTTTGCTAGTACTAGTAGTAACCGTAGTAGCGTAACCAGTATAGTACTTCTTATATTTTTAGCACAAGCCAAATTGGTTGTATTAGTGGTAGCAAGTAAAGCAAGAACAGTAGGCCTAAAAGAAAAATGCCTTTTATAATTTAAGTCAGCTCACTCTCATTACTTTTCCTTATAAAGTATTGTCTGGCATTCTTTCCATACAGCTTGGCGTTATGTCTGTAAATGTATATCTTAGGTTTTATTTGATCACGTTCCATGTAAACTTCGTATGATTATTTTGCCTTGAAGAGGTAACAAGGTTAAAAGTGTTTGTTTGAGCTGCATTTAAGAGAAAATTAGTGAATCACAATATGGCAATTATAACAAAATAGCATTCTGTCACAGGTATGAGATCGCAATTCAAATTGTATTGCCATATTATCCAGCCTAGAGCCCTGCAGGACCGGATACAAAACAGTGCGGCGCAGGACACGTTTTGAAAGCTCATTGCGGGCGTATGCGGGAGAGGAACTGCACAATGCTGGAGCGGGCGGGTGGGATGATAAACTGCAGTCCTGCGAACTAAATATGAGTGTAAAGTTAAATATACAAATGATTAATGTATCCCTGTCATACATATTTTGTGCTGCATAATTAATTTGGCATTAATAAAAATATTTTAAACAGCCTAAACTTGCGGATGTTGTCTAATCTGTCACACATTTTGGACAATTTCTTTCTGCTTCTCCATGTTTGATAGAGCTTAAGAAAGCCAATGTCCTCATCTTACGGGATTTGTGGGTGAGAGCGGGAAAAAATGTCGGAGCCCTACCTTTCGATTTCCTAATCCTGATCACAACATTTGACACTTATGTTTTTGTTTCAGGCCCAGATCGCCTTCTTACAAGGGGAGAGGAAAGGCCAGGAGAACCTCAAGAAGGACTTGGTGCGGAGGATCAAAATGCTGGAGTATGCGCTGAAGCAGGAGAGGTGAGACCCTTCACAGCCCACCCACTGTCACGCACACACACATGCACACACATACACAAGAGACTATGACTGATGTAACTGTGTACAAGTACTGTGTTTAAGTCTCTGCTGACTGAGGAGTGGGCAGAATGAGCACTTTCATGTTATGGGACCAACGGGGTAAAGACAAACACTTGGACTTTGTACTGTTAATTTGAGTCTACAGATGTTAAGATTATTTGGTTAACCGATATGATTATACAATATAATTATAATGCCTAAAAAGTAAAACTGTGAGCATTTTAGGAGCAATTATTTCAATTTAAACTTAAAAAAAGTCAGAGTAAATATGAATAGCTTGACAGGCTCTCTTGTGTCACATCACCACTCTCTTTGGCGTTCAGAAAGTTTTGCTTTCATAAAGCAAGACAAATAAATAACAATAATCAAATAGTTTTATGACATTCGTGACATCAATATCTAGATTCTCGCTTTCCATTCGTAAGTATAGTATTTACCACTGAACAACTGCAATTCAAGTTTAAGTGTGCGTTCGATATCGATGCCATTATAAAAGAGGGCCATTATAGTAGAGGTCAGCTCCAGTGTCGTGTTCTTTTTGTTATTTTCTTTATCATTTTGAATGTCAAGGATTCTATGACCAACTTTATCATCTCTACAACACAGACAGACACTTCTAGAGGCCACTTTAACAGACCCTTAACAATTTTTCTTTTATTTTCTTCTGACAAAAAAAAGCATAGGTTTATTTCATTTAGTGACATGTGTTTCCTTTTTGCCCAAATGCCACCACAAAACACCATTATAGGTTTAGAAATGTATTTAAATCCAGTTTAAATTTTTCCAGCCAAGGTGCACTGTGTAACATTTTGGTTGGGGGTCCATCATCTTCTTGTTTCTATGGAAATGTCATTGCTCTGCATGGAATTTTCCACAGTATGGCATTAAATAGCTGTACCTTACAAGCATTAAATTAGAGGTGGTTTTATAACTCACAACTTGCCTAGAAAAACAGGAATACTGACTGTGAGCGGTAGGGTAAGAAGTTGTGATACAATACATACCTTGATACATAGGCCACAATAAGATACGTTTTTCGATACAGTGCACTTTCAGTTTAATACGATTCAATGCGATATATTTCAAAACGATTCGATATTGTTCAGTAAAAATCAAAGTCTAAATCATGGCTACTGAAAGTCTACCAAGTCAGCACAAAGTTAATACAAAAAACACCCATTTTACTCAAAACAGTTAAAATGTCAACACAATTGTAGCTCTTACACAAAATAATTTAGTAAAATATACCTAAAAATACATAAGCCCACAATATCAATACTGTATCATCGAATTAAACAATATGATATAGCGATATTTTAACATTTTTGCACACCACTAGTGTCTCACCACAGATTTGACTTGTAACTTGGTCTGGTTTGTGCTCCATGATGATAGAAATTTCAATACCATAGTGTGAAACATTCCAGACAAAGCAATTCTCTACTGAGAAAAGCATTTAACGGGCCCGCCACCACAAAAGCTCCACAGTGCACTTTAAAGTCCACCTGCCATCATCAACAAATGTTTCATATTATAAAGCACTTTTCTGATACAAAGAAAAACACTAAGTTGACTGCCTACAGTACACAGTCAGCGCTGTCAGTCTGTGTCGCTGTAAGACCTGCTGCTTTATCTGTCCCTTTGTTGCTGTGCCATGTGCCTCTGTCTCAGCTGGTGGTGCAGAGGCGCTAATGGGCCGAGGTGCAGAGGTCCCAGAGTCCCCCCGCCCTCCCTTGTGGTGTGGGCAGTGAGTAGGACTCTACAATATATATGTTTAAACCACAATTTGAGTTGACAACATTATGAAATCACAAAGAAAATTTTGATAATAGAATGTGTCATGCCTTTTTATTTAACCTTTTTTTTGTTTTATGTGTAGTTTAAACCTTTCAGTCTTACTTCAAATGTTCCTGGAGTTGTTAAAAATGTATACCCTGAACAGCGTCAGACTTTTTTAACCTTGTACTGCAAATCTCATCGCAATCAATACTAGCTATGAGCAGATTTACGAGTGTTAGCTTGACCCTTCAGTCTGTGTTCAATGAGGACGACTGCTCCTCTGGACAGGAGTGGACGCTGCACTGGGACCCTGCTCCATGAGTCACAGGATGAATGAGTTTACTGCCACTTCCCTTTGGACAGTTTGTTACTAACTCAAGAAACAACTCTGACAGGGACAGGGACAAAGCTGGCACCACTTTGTACCATTTAACAGACGTAAACTGAACCCTAAGTAATGTACATTTTTGGAGAGCAAGTTCCTAAAACATGCTTCTCTGTGAAAAATGTTGAATGTTTATAACTTGTTGGGGGGGAAAAAATCAAATCTTTAATTTTAAAACCGCATTTGCTGAAATTTGTGTCTAACTAGTCAACAATGCAAAATACACACTAAAATATTTATACTTTTTACCCTCACACCATGACAAATCTTTAAATTGTCCTTTTTACACAAGAAATCCATCTGCTTACTAATCAAGTTATTACTACTCAGCAAAAATGATACTTAAATGTATTTTTGATAATTTTAGTAAAAAGACACTGGGTGAATAGCAGGCGTTGGTATCTGTGCTGTGGTATGTGCTCATCAGGTAAACCACAGAGGTGTCCTGTTGTTGTTTTCATGATGACGTCTTGTAAAAACATGTTGAGTCTCCTGAGCTGTGTTATGTCAGGCCTTAGGTGTGGCCTCTGAAGTCAGTGCTACCAGACGCTCAAAATCCACCAGGACGTGAACTTTTACTGCTCTTCCCCGCGGCAACCGGCCAATACTTTGTTCTGGAGATATTAGATTTGTTCTAAATGCTAATATAATCCCTGTTAAATCAGTAAAGTCCTCTGTCTGATGGTTTAATGCTGTGGGAGAAATTGAAAAGCATGACAAAGACCTGATGTGAACTTGTCCGTGTAATAAGCGAAACGATCTCACTTCAGTCGTGTCCAAACTGGTTACCGTGGCAGTACTCCGATCTTCAGGGACATTTTGACCTCCTCTGAAACTGATATTGAAATGAAAAGGAAAAGTATGGTACTAAAGTTCTCTTCTTCTAATTTGAGGCATCATTTTCATTTATTATTTAGAAGTCCTGCTAAAATCGTTGCTAAAAAATCACGATATCATGATATTACTGCTAGTCTGTAGTACCCTAACTTTGCTATCACTATTGCTGCCTATACAAGTACTGCCTAAATTATCATTGCTACTGCTAAAAAATCATTTGGGACTCATCCTGTGTAAGCTTATTAATAAACTAAACAGCATTTGTGTGATTGCAAAAGTTAATTTTCTAAAATGGTATTTGAAAAATCTCATTTAGCAGCACTTAAGCAGTTGCCTCTGTAGGTTAATAATCTGTATCTCTGTAGTGTTTTTATCCATGTTTCTCTGGAGATAACTGTCATTAAACATTTAACCCAGAAATGCTCTCTGTTTCCTAGCAACAGGTCATGTCTTGAAGGGTCTCTGGAGGCAATATCAGAAATGGGGATTTTGAAAGTCGATTTATGAGCCATAATTTAGTCTAAATTAGGTCGGGGATGTTTCCTCTTGGATTACAGAGCAAACACAGGTCTGGTCCTCATGTCTTTGTGCGGAGTGGAGAGAGGAAGCAGCAGTGAAGGAGAACGTTTTGTCCAGAATATCGTTATTACAGAATGAATAAATTTAGTATTAAATACTTAACTTTAGATTTACAGAGTTTACATTTTTGCTTGTTGATTCGACAGACTCCTGCGCTGTTTTTCATGTCATTTTTTAAGCCGCCGTGTTTGTTTTGTGTATCTCTGTGGTTAATCATGTGTCAATCATCCCTAAATGAATTTAGAGACGGTACATAGTTCAGAAGTAAATAGTGAAGAAAAAAATAATTACAAAACACTGATTAGTACAACTAGAGCAATCCCATGCATGTTAACTTTGCATTTGAGGGAACACGTTGAAATGCTGGTTCTTTGTTGCATTCATTACATTTTCTTCATATATTACTGTAGTGTGAGTTTTCGTCTCTCTGATCTTGGGTTCAACACCAACGCATCAAGGTTAACTTCATATTTATAAATGTTTTCACTAAAAAGGTAAAAGTGGATGACTAAATGTTTTTCAGGAGACTGTACCTCTACAGTCATGAGTCAGCCCGTTATTTAACAACATCATGCATATATAAGACCTTAAAATCGTTAGGAAGTGAACTAAATTTAGAAGAATGAACAGGCAGTGCTATGAGGTATGAGTCCAGATGACCTTTGATGAAACCTCTGCACTGAATCACTCCTGGAGGAATGAGGGATTACACTGGCTCATTGTACAAAAAAATGCAAAAAGAAATAATTGGGGTGTTCATGTGAAATACTATAGTTTATTTTATATGTCAGTCATATGCATTTCCCACTAAATGACTGGGAGACATTCCTAGAAACTCCTCTGGTGAGACAAACAAGTCTTGTCACTGCTCACACATGTACTGTAGCGTTAAGGAATGCCCAAACATTCTCTGGTAGCAAAACCTGACATCAAAAATGTGTTATTACCATGTCATCAGATCTTTAATTTTTTCAGTGTTGGGTTTATCGTAATATTTCTTGGCGAGACGAAACCAATTGACTGAAATTTGTTTTTAAAAAGACTACATTACATTGCAAAAGTCCATTAACTTTTGTCATTTCTCATTAAACAAATAGTCTGTCCTCACTTGTATTCTATGTATTTTCGGGGAAAATTTGTATATTATTGGAAACTTTCGGCTTGGTGATTGTCAGGGCTAATGCTTTTTGTAATGGCCTTTTTAATGACTCTCCATATTTTCTCAGCTAGTCCCAGTCACTCGTTTATTTGCTGGCTTATTATTTTTTTATTTTTTTACTCATTTATTTGTTTTTTATTTGTTTTTCTTTCAGAGCGAAGTACCACAAGCTAAAATATGGCACAGAGTTGAACCAAGGCGAGATGAAGCCCCCCAGCTATGACTCTGGTAAGATTTAAGTTGCCACCGCAGCCACTCGCTCTCTCCCTTTCGCTCTTTGTTTCTTACTCTCTCTCTTATTCTCACTCTTTTGCTCAATCATTCACTTTCTGCAGCAGTCATTCACTTTCTCCATATTCTCTCACTTTCACTTAATCTTCTTACTCTCCTCTTTTCGCTGTCCCTCTCTCCTCCCTCTTTACTACATTCTTTCCCTCTCTTCACTCCTTTCTCTTTAGCTCCTTACTCCCTCCCTCTCTCCTGTTCTCTCACTTCTCTCTCTCTTTCACTCTTTCTGAATGATGCAGATGGAGAGAGATGAAGGAGAGAGTGAAAGATTGTTACAATCTTTCACTCTCTCCATTTTCTCTCACTCTCACTTCATCTTTTTCTCCTCTTTTCACTCTCTTCCTCTGTCTCCTTTTTCTCTCTATCACTGTTTATTCTCTGACACACTCATTTACTCTCTTTCTCTCAGCCTCCCTTGTGCAGAAAAAGCTACTTATCCATGAGAATGAAGTTGTTTAAATATGGAATCTGTTCATAATAAGAATATAAACATTATAATTATAGATATCCATATTATTTTGTAACTGTCAGCAGCTTTAATAATGCGTTCATCTCAATAATTGTCATTTTATTTTGTTATTTTGATGAACGTGATCCAGACTTCAATATCGCCCTGTGCTTATTATCACTGTGAGCCTCATTTGCTTTCTCTCCCTCTCCTGTTTGTCTTTTCTCTCTCTCTCCCCTTTCTCAATCCTTCTTCAATGCAAAATGTTTTTGATGGACACAATAAAGGTCTGTTAAAAATTTAAAAAAAAACTCTCCTTTCTCTCTCTCTTTTTCTCTCCATCTTCTCAAGCTCCCTCACCCTCCCACTCTCTATTTCTTGTTCATTCTCTCCCTCTCTCTCGCTCCCTCTATTTTGCTCCCCCCCACTCCCTCCCACTCTATCTCTCTTTCTCTCCCCCTCTCTCTCCCTCTTACTCCCTTTCGCTCCCCCTCTCACTTGCTCTCTCCCTCCCTCTCTTTTGCTCCCCCTTTTGCTCCCTCTCTTGCTCTCTTCCTCTCGCTCCCCCTCTTACTCTCTCTCCCTCCCTCTGTCTCACCCTCTCTCTCCGTCTCTCCCTTTCGCTCCGTCTCTCTCCCTCTCTACCTCTTGCTCCCTCGCTCTTCGTCTCTCCATCCCTCTCTCCCTCCCTCCCTCTTTCTCTCTCTTTCCCTCTCTCTTTCCCTCTCTCCCTCTCACTCCACCTCTCTCCCTCTCTACCTCTTGGTCCCTCTCTGTCCCTCTCTCTCTCCCTCTTTCTCTTCCTCTCCCTCTCTCCCTTTCTCTCTCCCCCTCTCTCCCTTTTGCTCCCTCTCTGTCCCTCTCTCTCTCCCTCTTTCTCTTCCTCTTTCCCTTTCTCTCTCCCTCTTTCTCTCCCCCTCTCTCCCTTTTGCTCCCTCTCTCTCTCTCTCACTTCCTCGCTCTCCCTCACTCCCTCCCTCTCTCTCTTTCTCACTCCCTCGCTCCCTATCTCCCTCCTTCTCTCCCTCTTTCATTCTCACCCGTGTGCACATACCTGGAGTGACAGTGCAGTTCGGCATGTGAAGGCCGTGTTCAAGTCCAATCTTGTTCTTTTTGCTCTGATAGATTTCATCACGGCCACATCTCCTGAAAGAGCCTTTGTTTTTTTTTGTTTCTTTTTGTTGTTTTTTTTATGTGTGCACTGCAGAGCGACACGGCTACCTGTTATTGGTTTAGGGAGGTGACATTTAAAGGGACAGCGCACATTTGTTGGCCTTTAATAGAATAGTTTCTGGTCATTTTAAACAACATTAAACACCACATGAGCGCAAATTAAAGACATGTCCAAAAGTGTCGACCTTGAACCTAGTATGGAGTTCCCCAAATATATATGATGATGATGTCTATTTTTCCACAAATCCTTTAAAAATAACCAAGATAACTACTTTCTCTTCTGCTTGAGTATGAATATTTTTGAACCAATACCTATACATTTGAGTACAATTCCTCTCTGCTTCTCCCTCCTCGTGGGCTGTTGGCCTTTAGTCGTTTAGTGGAATCATCGGGCGCAGGTTTAATTTGCCTTCATTTAAATTCATGGTTTCTTGCAGTTTTTTTCTGTGCAGATAGTTTTTGGATGAACTCTTGTGCAGGTGTAGTCTTTTGAGTGCAGTATGGATCAAATGCATAGAAATACCTAAGAGTTTTGAGAGCCTTTTTTAGCCAACTAATCGATCAGCAGTTCATGTCTTTAGACGACTACAGCCTGCTGTCCTCTTGAGACAGTACCTGGTGTAACCCTGTCTCACTCTCTCTTGGCTCGACGGCTGTTTCCAGTATCATTACAGTGGATTAATTGGCCTCTCATGTTCGAGCCCTCTCCAATCACAGAGGCAGGAGTTTGTGTCTCATCTGCTCCTCCTCTCCTCCTGTTTATTCATAAGGCTGCGCAGAGCTCTCCAAGTGGTGATGAAGAGGAGGGAGGAGACAGGGGAGAGAGGAGGAGGAGGAAGAGTGTGAGGTTTTGGGGGCAGAGAAATGAGATGAGAGGATGTTATACGCTCACCTGCCCTCCTGAATTAGGGGTGACCCACTTAGACAACAAAACATTTTATGAGAATTTTATGATAAATTTTTAAATCTTGTTTGAGATTGTGTTTTAACTGTATAATTAAGGGTGTTAGGTAGGGATGGTTATCAGTAAGGAGTTGTTGGTATGATGCGTACCTCGATATATAGGCCATGATACGATACATATCTTGATACAGTGCACTTTCGATGTGATATAATATATTTCAGATCGATTCGATACAGTTCAATAAAGATAAATTCTAAATCATGGCTGGGATACAAAAAGTCTTTGTTAAACCACTTCTTGTGCAAAGTTAATATGAAACACACCCATTTTAATCATCAAAAACTGTGAAAATGTCAAATGTGTCTCATAAATGAGTTTCCTTCCTCTAAACAAGCAACAAAACTGTAGTTCTGTAACTAAATAATTGAGTAAAATACACCAAAAAATACTCTTGGCCATATATTGATACAACAGCCCACAATATCGATACTGTATCATCACATTAAACAATACGATATATCAGTAATTGTTGCACACCTCTAAGTATTAGTGATATTGTTCATATTATTATTAGTGATTCCACAAAAATAGACAAAAAATACCACACCATCATAAAGATTTGATAGAATAAATAGACCATTGTTCTAACATGTTTTACAGAGCTTATCTTTAGAGCTTATCTCTCTGAGCTATGGCAGTATACAAAACATGACATTTTGAAGTTGACACTGAACAACTGTTAAAAATCCCTCCATTCCCCACAAGCGGAAAGTCTGGCTTCATACATTAATTGTTGCTGTCGATGGCTACAGTCCAGCATCTCCAGATCTAAAAATATCTCCAAACTGATTCATAATTTACAAAGTTGTAGCCGAGTGGAGGGCACTTTTCATAATCACTCACATGTTTCTAATGTTCAGAAAGCAGGATCAGCTCTATCATTATACTTTAGTACTGCATGGTGTAAAGACTTACAGGTGCACTCTGTAACTTTACCGTGGGGAGGTCTGACCTTTGCTTGTCTCCTTGGAAATCTTGATTTGCCTGGAATCTTTCACAGTATGGCATTAAACCAGTCTATAATGCATATATTCAGTTGCTTTCATTGCTGTATTCAATTTGATTAATATAAACAACTGATAATATAAATCCTACACTTTGTTCAAACCCGCAGTCATATGCTCTCCAGTTGTCTAATCTCGCAGTTGCAGATATGTTCCAGTGCAGGAATTTTGTTGTTCAGTGACTTGTACTAATTTTACAGTTGTTATAAAAGTCTGTTCTTTTTGCTCTCTTTTTTTCCAGATGAGGCCAATGAGAATGACACATCTGGATCCCTCAACAATCAACTGTCCTGGAAGCAAGGACGCCAACTCCTTAGACAGTGAGTATAAATATATGATATCAAGTTTAAACCAATCCTTAAATCATGAGTAAATTTGATTAAAAACGTAGCATTTCAGATCTTAAAACACAAAGCATCATCTGTACTAATTGTTTTGCAGCATTTACATAACAAAATGTGGTGTAAAGCTCCCCCTGTTGGTCACTGTGAGATGTTACTTATTGTGGCAGATGTGGGGTTTTTTTTCTAGTGCAGCGTTTTTTAACATGGGATTGTGCTCCTTTTTGGGCATTATATTTTGATCCAATAAATAAAAAATGTCAATCAAGTCAATGTTAAGGCATATAACAATTAAGAAGAATTAAAGAGTGAATGCGCGTGAGTATGTTTGAGTCATGTAGTCATTTTTCCAGTTCATATAGACAAGGAAACACTGTGGTTTTCTTTTTATGATTGCCGGTAAACTTCCTTATATTCCAAACTTCCCACGTGTCGCAATCTCTATGACTGTTCCCCACGCCTTGTCTGTCCCACACTCTGATCCTGAAGCTCCGGTTTCTTCACCAGTCTGTGTCGGAACAAATCAATAATGTGCAGAGACACCCCTCCTCCCCCTTTCTCTAACCTTTTCTCCCTTTCTCCCACTCTTTGTCTCCCCCACCCTCCCCCCTTTCTCCCACTCTTTTTCTCCCTTTCTCCCACTCTTTTTCTCCCTTTCTCCCACTCTTTTTCTCCCCCACCCTCCCTCCCTTTGTCCCACTCTTTTCTCCCTTTCTCCCACTCTTTTTCTCCCTTTCTCTCTCCCTTTTTCTCCCACCCTCCCGCCCCTTTCTCTCGCGCCCTTTTTCTCCCACCCCTCCCCGCCCCTTTTCTCGCCCTTTTTTTCTCCCCCTTTTTCTCTCACCCTACCGCCCCTTTTTTCTCGCCCTTTTTCTCCCCCTTTTTCTCTCACCCTCCCACCCCTTTCTCTCGCCCTTTCTCTTCCACCCTCCCTCCCTTTCTCTCTCCCTTTCTCTCGCACCCTCCCGCCCTTTCTCTCACTTATTCTCTCCAATCCTCCCTTTCTCTCACCCTTTCTCCCCCGACCCTCCCTCCCTTTTTCTCACTCTATCTCCCACCTTCCTTTCCTTTCTCTTTCTCTCCTGCCCTCCCTCACTTTCTCTTACACTTTCTCTGTCACCCCCCTTTTTGTCCCTTTTTTATTCCACCAATCTTTCCTTTTTCCTTATCTATCTATTTCTCTTACCATATCTCTCTGTCTCCATCTACGCACTATCTATCTGTCCTTCTCTCTCACTTTCCTCTGGGTGTGTTCACACTTCTCGGTTTGGTTCTGGTTTGAGCTCAACTTAATCCTGATGTTGTCTTATTTGATCCTGTTCTGGTGCTGGTTTAGCACTTGGTCTTTCCCATGTTGACTTGTGTGTTAGCCGGTCCCTTTTTATATTTGGTGTTTTCGCAAGTGTGATTGCAGCAGCTCTCTCGACAGTGAATCTACTTGAGGTGCTTCACCCAGAGTGTGAACTAGAGCAGAGCTGATGATCGTGACGTCAGACTTACTTGTGATTCCATTGACTTAATATTGATTTTATGTGGGTTGCGTTGGCAGGTTCATATGAGAGTTTTTTTTTTTTTTTTTTTTCAGTTTTTAGTCTTTCCCAGAGAATAAAGTTAGGTCCATAAACTTTTATTTTTCATGTGAAACAAATGAGCTTGTTTGTCATCTATCATTTCGAGCAAAATCTAATTTTCCTCTTTAGTTCATCTCTCTTTGATTCTGCAGAAATCTGCTTTTTAGTCCCCTGTGACTTTAGTTTTTTGCTCATAAGCAGTTATATTTGTTTTGATACAGACTGAATGGCTCATACACCAGGCACTCATGTCCTCCTGACTCAGGGGAGATGCAACCATACTCACATCTTTCTAAAGTATTGGTTCGGTTGTATTCTAATAATTTTGAGAGCTTTTGCCAGCACCATTCTTATAACTGATTGATCAATGCACACTTTAGGCAACCAGGATCCAGGAATTTTTATTATTTAGATTAGATTTTTAATAATGTGCATAAATTAGTTTGAAAATGTTTTTAATGTTAACATAATTGAAGCCAGCTATGTGTAAAACTATGGCCATGCTGACAGAGATGTAGCTAGTTGTCATTTGTCATAACGTCTGCTTTGTATCTGCTCCAGGTACCTGCAGGAGGTCGGCTACACAGACACCATTTTGGATGTGAAGTCCCAGAGGGTGCGGGCGCTGTTGGGTTTGGCTGGAGACAGTGGCAGTCGGACAGGGGAGCGCCAAACCTCTGAGCCCCTGGTCAATGGGACGGACTCAACTGCTAAAGGCAACAGAGGGTTAGTCTCCCTGTTATCACTGAGCACAATATGTAAACAAACAACTCTTACATCATTTAAAATGTTATTTGTAATTGTGAATAAATTAACTACAACAACTGACAGTAAAACAATACTTGATATGTTTACATAATAATATTTCACATTCATTTATTTATTAATTAGGTTATTTAGCAGGGACAGTGTACATTAATCAGCATGTCTGTAAATGTACCAGAATTAGCCATAGAGGCTGTTTTTCATCTGCAGTCCCTGCACAGATGGTAAACATGGTCACCCTAAAAACACAACAATGAGAATTATACAAAAAGTTAAATTGTACAGTTCAATAAAAAGGCAGTGAGAATACACACATAGTTTTTTTTGTTTTGTTTTTATGAAAAATGCTACTCAGTCCACAGTGTCACATATTGTTTTGTTTTTTATTTTATTTTATTTTTTCAGAAAAAGTGAGCTTTCAGACACCAGGGCTGTGGAGGAGGTCATTAACTTCATAGAAAATGCAGCGGCCGAATACAGCGACGAAGATGAGGATGAAGACAGCGAAGGCAAAGACAGGATGTCTGTGGAGTCCAGAACTGTAAGAGAAGCCCATAGTGTCCATTGTCCATCCATTGTGCTGCGTTTTAGGTTTAGATCTATGTGAAACGTTGGACAACATCTTAACAGCAAAATTGAATGAACTAATTTTGTTTGCTATACACAATAACAAATAACATTGTACTAAAGTACCGCTGCATTTTAAAATGCAAATTTAGAATCTTTGCAGGAAGATATTCATTAATGCTATAGAGTGATTAGCATTCAGGTCAAATGTAATGAGCTCTAAGAAAGTTTAGAAGTTATTTTCAGCTTCCAGTGTTGAGATTGAGAGTTTACTCTCTGCATGTAAAAAGTCTGTGTAAAGTCATAAAAAGCCCATTCAAAAGCGTCTGTACCTGCACTGACTGCCCTGTGTGACACATCTTGCATTTTCAGACCGTTTTTACATGTGTAAAAAGGCAAGGTAGAAAGACTAAACATCCTTTCCTTCGAAACAATATGACTCTGAGCAACCTCAGTGTAATTTTATCACAAATGTGTGACATAGGTTGGCAATGAAGTGGATGAGAAACAACCATCTGTGAAAGACTTTAGTCATTTAGTGGGTGGGCCCAACAGTTAATTCTCAAACATGGTTCACGAGCAGAAACAAGCCCTTTAACATAGCTCTGGATAAAACATAATCTTATATTTATGTAATAATTCTTATATTGTTTTGTGTATTGAATTGTTGAATGAGTAAGTACAGCATGACTGAATATATGACTGGTCTCCTTTGTTAAACCTTGGTGAACTGATCCTGTATTTCCTTTAGATAATGCGCAAGAAGCCGTCCTCCACGACCACTCCGGCAAGTATGGACACCAGCGAGGACCCAGACGCTGTAGAGGCTCTGAAGGTGTTTGACTTCTTGTCCAGTCCTGACGAAATGGACACATCCCCAGAGTCTAGAGACCCAGGGGACGGCACGGACTGGGGTGAGTCTCTGTTCTGTCTAAAACGTGGGACAATAATACTGACCATAGAGATGGGACAGTGGGTTTCAAACTCACTACATGACACACTACAATTATATGGCTATTATATGACTATTGAGTGGCAATCATTTCTAATTTAGAATGTCACCTACAATTTTACTGATTAACAGGACAGAAATAAGAGAATAATGTTAGGAACAGTCAAATCTATAATGTTATAGTTCGGAATAAACTAGGACTAAACAAGGGCTAAACAAGGGCTACTAAATTAGGACCAAATCAGGACTAAACCAGGGCTACTAAATTGGGAGTAAATCAGGACCAAACCAGGGCTACTAAACCAGGGCTACTAAACCAGGGCTACTAAACCAGGGCTACTAAACCAGGGCTACTAAACCAGGGCTACTAAACCAGGGCTACTAAACCACGGCTACTAAACCACGGCTACTAAACCACGGCTACTAAACCAGGCTACTAAACCACGGCTACTAAACCAGGGCTACTAAACCAGGGCTACTAAACCAGGGCTACTAAATTAGAACCAAGCCAGGGTCAGGCCAGGGTCAGGCCAGGGTCAGGCCAGGGTCAGGCCAGGGCCAGGCCAGGGCCAGGCCAGGGCCGGGCCAAGCCAGGGCCAAGCCAGGGCTAAACCAGGACTGTGAAACTCAACTAAAAGCCTATACCAACAACCGCATTTTCAGAACTGCTGGCCCAGACATTTCCATTATATAGCCTAATTCAAATATTCCCTTGTTATTTTTTTGTTTATGAATAAGGTAATAATATAATTCTTGTATTTGTCACCCATATCTCATGCTGTGGTCATATTTCATGATGTTTGATGTTTCTCTGTTTAACCCATAGTTTGTTCCTTCACTGTGTTCCCATAGCAACGTCTGACCACAATGTGTCTCCACTCCTGTGTCTCCAATCAGCATAATATCTTTGAGTCAGCACTAAATTACCACAAAGTTTTAACAACCCTAGATGTCTGGTTTAGGCCAAAATATACGAGATGTTCAGTTAAATTATTGGGGATATTGTGGAAAAGTGTTAGTGATGAGCAGATCAATACCAAGGTATTGCTATTTATCGGTACTGACAAGCTATCAAAAAGTACTGATTTTCATGCATAATATTTTGAACATTTTCATGAATTTATGAAGTGCGTTGTTAATATTATTGCACTATTATTTTGGTTTCATTTAATGTTCAATTCTCTGAACAGATACTAATCATATTGTGGCCAAGACCTTAACGATTGCTTTTAAAACTGTATTTGAATGTTACTTTTCCACAGTATTCAGTAATTTAATGCACCAGTATTTAATATTAGATTGGTACTTTCTCATAATCGCACAATACATCCCCTATAATTTAATCCGAAAAGTAGTGAACTAGTTAGAATATTATAAGAATGGGTATGAATTTGAAATATTAGATGTATTAGAATAGTGTGTAGTCGAGGAGCTCTTGAATCCAGTGAAGCAGGATGTGAGCAGCTCTGGCTCTGTGTGTCCCATAGACAAGGAGGAGCAGGGTCCCGTCACAGAGGCCTGGGACGTGGACCCCGGCCTGATAACCAGACTCAAGGAGCAGTACAAAAAGGAGCGCAAAGGCAAAAAGGGGGTGAAGCGTAAGTCCCTCCTGCTCCTCTCTCTGTAGAGCTCTGAGGCCTCGGTCCAAAACAACACTTCACTCTTTGGTTCCTCATCTCCCTCAGATGCTTTTTCTGTTTGTTTTTTAGCATTGCTCTGTCCCAGGGCTGAACAGTCGGACAAAAATGGCACTAAAGCATCTGGAAATTATACTGTTTTCATTTATTTAAAAAAAGGACATTTGAAATTTAAAGTGGATTATGTAATTTTTTGTGGTGGAGGGTCTGTCACCTACTTTTCTCTGTTGAGATTTGATTGCTTACACTGAAATGTTCCACACTGCCCTGGAAACAATCAGGTGCTATTCACTGTACGAATGTGTTTCATAAAAATAAAATGCAAGATAGAAGATAGATACAAACCTAATGTCATACTGAAGAAATTCAATTTGTCAACTGGACAAAAGTTTAATTTTACAATAAATATACATTTGTCCATTAGGGTCAGGAAGTTGTAGACCCCAGAAGTTGTAGACCACGCACAGTGTGGTACAGCACGACAGTAAACAAAGCAGTCGAGATGGATGTAGACGAAGTCATACGTTCTGTGTTGGCAACAATTCCCGATATCGAGGATTTAAAGCCAGAACAAAGAGATGACCAAATAGCAGCTATTGGTTAAAATAAAAAAAGTTCTCGCTTACCTTCCAGCGAACAAATGCTAATCTTCTGAATCCTAACCGAAGTTAAATGCACTGATGAATCAGGCTCGGATTCTACCTGGATGACTGAGGGATTGTACACACTTAATGTCATACTGTGGAACATTCCTGCCAAAGCAATAACATCTCCATACAAAAAAATATTTTAGTTTTGTGGTTTATAAAAATTTCAGGAATAGCTTTTTGATTATATTATTAATCTATATTAACCCTGACAAGATTTAAAACTACATTTAATGTTTTTAAAGTTAGTGCAAAAAAACTTGGCCACTATTGTCCTTACATCAGTGCAGTTTCCCATATGTCATTTTGATGCCAGTTGTTCAGCCCTACTGTCCTCTGCACTGTCCTGTCAAAACCATTTTCCTTTTTGTCTGATCAGCCTTCTCCTTCACTCCGGCATGTTTCTCTCCTTCTCGTTTGTTCACTCTTAATTTATAACTCACTTCATCTTGTCCACATTCATCACAGATTCATGTGTAAGTTAGCTGTGTCGACTCCTCCATCTGTCTACAGTCTGGATTTAGCCTCTAGAAGCAAACGCATCCTCTTCTCATTAAAACGACCATCATGTGTCGGCCATCTTGGTACTCCAGTTAATAGCTTTGTTGTTGTTTTTAATTGAAAGCTGTACAAACAAACAGTGAGTTGTGTGGATACTGCCGCTCTCACAGTTAAGAGGCACTTCAGATGCAGTCTCATTCACTTGTGAGAGTCATTAGGTTGTACATTTAAAACACCAGCTCTCTGTAAATGGGGCTTTATTGTATCCCACACTGCTCAGCTCGTCTCTGCTTCCCTCTCATTTGATTCAGACGCCATTTTTAACACTTAGATCTCTCCAATCGGTCTATTTTAGTTTTTCTCACTTGGTTTATCACATCTGAGGGAGTGTGGAGGAGAGGAGATGAAAATGAGGGATGGGTTTCTTTTTATGGTCTACAGGCACCTGTCAGGAAATTTAAATGTAAAAAGGTGAGAAATTCTTTAGATTATATATACTAATATTTATATAAATACTTCATTTAGTTCATTTGTGATTAAATGAATGAATGTATTGTTTACTTTCCCATCTAAGGTCATCACAATAAATCTGAGCCTTATGTGCCTATTTAGATATTTAAATGGTACAGGTTTTAAGTCAGATGCCCTACCATTATACAGGCTTGGGACTGACACGGACAGTACTGAAGTTTTTAGATTCTGTGGATGGTATGGCCTAACATTTCAGGCTAATCAGTTTTGCATAATCTAATTTAAAAATGCACTTTCACTTTTCACAGACTGATTTTACATTTTATATATCACATGTTTATTTAAAATGCTAAACTTCAGTATTTATTTATGTCTGCCAGTGAGCTTAGTTTCTCAAGGTGATATTATTTTGTTTTTATGAATTCTCTCCTAATATTTTAAAGCTGCATTATGTAACTTTTCTGCTTACATAGTTACTTTCAATATAGATCGATCCATTTTTTATTTTTTTTTTGACATTCCCTGTTTTGTTTATAAGGTTTCAATTTTCCTGCTTTACATTCCAAGTTTTCTTAAATTTTCTGCTTTTTCCTTTAATCACTTCCTTTTCAGCTTCTGTTACTCATGCCATATATTTTGTTTCCCAGATTGAATACATTCATGGGAATGAGACTCGGGAGACTAAAGCCTGCTGTTGTAACTTGTTGTACAGGGCCCAACCGGTCTAAGCTGCAGGACATGCTGGCTAATTTAAGAGATGCAGAGGACTTGTCCCACTTGCAGCCCCCCTCCGCCCCCCAGCCCCGACCCAATGTGGCCCGCTTTAACGAGCATGAAGCCAACAGGACGGACGAAGGTGAGACAAATCTGGCACAGCTAAAATTAAAGATACTATATAATTGCTTTTGGAACAATATATCATATGCACTTTGAAGAATTACAGACAAAGATGCAGATCTATTTAACTACCACAAAAAAAATTAACCTATAGCACTCATTGAGTTCTGAAGACCTCTGCCAAGGTACTGGCTCAGTATTACAATAGTAAGATACAACACCTAGGCCTACATTTTCTGTATTAATCTATGAACCATCACAAAAACTTCAACAACAGGTTCGTGAGGGAGGTTTGCATCATATCTAGAGCTGGACAATATGGTGATAAATATCAAATTGTGATCTTATTCTTGTGACAGTCTGCTGTTTTGGTCAGATTGTTATTATTTTTCACTTTCTGTATTAATGCAGCTGGCTGCTCAAGCGCAGACACTGTTGGTCAACTTCTATAATGTTCTGAATGATTGACAGCTTGATTTAACCAATCACTGTGAAGTGTGAACTTTAAGAAAAAGTGTACATGAATCATGATAAACTCAAAAACTGAAACTGAATAATTAACTAATTTTACACTTCTGACTCATAAAAGTACTTGTATGATTTAGTCTAACTCTGTGTCGTTTGTGTTCAGTGGAGGCGCTGACGTTCCCTCCGACCTCGGGGAAGGCGTTCATTATGGGTCCAGACGAGGCCATGGAGAGCGAGCTGGGGCTGGGGGAGCTTGCCGGACTCACTGTGGCCAACGAGGCCGACAGCCTCACATACGACGTGAGTACAGCCACAGCAGGCGGGTGATGCAGTTTTAATGTGAGGATTATTTAGTTTGTTTTATGAGAAATGCTTTTGTAAGTAAGTGCATTATAGTGATGTCTTTATCTTTTTCTATCCTCCTTAAACAAACTAAGGGTAAACTAACTGTCAATATATAAAAACACTCATGTAATGTAAAGGTTTTGGACATTTTTAAATGTAATCATGACAAACAAATCAATAATATAATTTGCTAATACAGTAATGGTTGCTGATCTAGTTCAGTTATTTTCATTCAACAATGACTACGCCATTGCCTATTAATTCTCAGGTGAAATTTGTCACATAAAGTTTTTCACCAGTATCAACCATCTTGCCATTTATTCTTTGGAAAACCCAATAAGCAAATGTCAGATTGTTCAAAGTGGTTTATTGATCCCAAGAAGGCCACAATCTCCCACACATTAAAACACAATGGAGTTCTGTGTCAGAGGCGGACGCCGAGGGGGTGAAAAGCCTTTACAAGTATTGTTTGTGTGCGTGTACTTTCAACAGCCCCTTACTGTGAGAAGCAAAGGTTGTTCAAGACTGTTTTAGACAACATAGATCTACTTTTATGTTATACTGAGGATCAAACTCTTTCAAATATATTGTTTTTTATGGTTTTTACAATGTCAAACTGTAGTCTTGCAGTTCTTCTGAGAAAACATTGCGACTACTTTATATGTTTAACTTGATGGTAAATAGTGAAATCATTCATTTCCATTCACAGCTAATAATCTTGTAATAATATATGATTATGCAACAATTTTTTATATATATAAATCAAACGTTGCTGTGACATAAATAATACTTTACATTTAGATTTGAAACATATGCCAAATCATAGTGCTAACATCAGAATTTATCAGGGTTATAGAATGGTTTATTTATTAGGTTTTATATACACAGTAACAGATTTACTTTGACTTAGAAGAGTCTACAAAAGTTGGCAGACACATTTGGAAGTATTGAAATGTAAAACATTTTCACAGAAATTACATGCTATATGAAACAGCGATTTCCTACTAAACAAATCTTCAACTACAGTATGTTTGCTAACAGGATACCTGCATTCTTTTTCCAGATTGGGAACAACAAAGACGCCATGAGGAAGACGTGGAACCCCAAGTTCACTTTGAGGAGTCACTTTGACGGGATCCGGGCTTTGACCTTTCACCCTGTGGAACCTGTTTTGGTCACTGCCTCTGAGGACCACACGCTTAAGATGTGGAACCTCCAGAAAACCGCTCCTGCCAAAAAGTAAAGTCATTTGATACTGTCAAAAATACTATGTTTCTACTATATTATCTATATTATCTTTGGAGATTTTCAGATCTATTGACGTTTTGGGGATTTTTAAAAATGAAAATTCATGCTGAAGTGGGTCAGATGGGTACTACTCATGACAGTTCCACCTAAACAAAACTGTATTGATGGTATACTCCAGTTAAGGCTGTGCCAAAAATCGAAAGATCTATAGATTGCGATCTCTACTTTGGTCAATCTCGATGAGAAGGCATTTAAGACATTTTAATCGACAGGTCTACAGCCAGTCGTGTGGCAGTAAGAGTGTGTTGTGCTGACAAGGCTTTACACTTTCTTATTTAGAAAAAAGTAGCCTGAGTCACAACATGTCCCTTTGTCTTCTCACATGTTCACAAGGTTAAATCTGTCTGCGGTACTGTCTGACTGCTCCCCTCTCCCGCTTTGTGAGCCAGCCGCAGCTCCTCACCTTTTCTTCTCTTTTTCTCCTCTTTTTCTTCTGGTGCTTCTCATCTTTAATCCAAGATCCAAGAAAGTAATGACTGTTTTCTCACCGTTTATGAGTGAAACTTGTGATGCACGTGTTTCTGCCGCTAGCAGTAACACGCTTATTCATTAGGTTGTACAAACTCATTCCAACTTATAAATGTTAATTTCTCTGGAATTATTGGTCCTATCAGCATGAAATAAAAAAAACTGTGGTGATCCTGACACTGCCCTTTATGCCTGAAGTCCACACGTCTATGTTTTTAATAAGATGGAAGAAGAGCAAATTGAAATTCGAGAATGATGTAGAGAGTAAATTGTGATTCTTCGTTTTCCCATATCACCCAGCCCTAACTCCAGTCCAGTCTGAGACAGGGCTTAGATGTTTTCAACTTCTAAGGAAAGATGTTCTGTCCCCACTGTATTTAGGGCCATTGTTTTAGTGTCTGTCAGGGTTTGACGGTGGTGGTGTTGAAAGATGCAAAAAAAAAAAACAAGGCACTCACTGGTTAAAAATAAAATGCCTTTATTAGTTTACGGCATGTCTTAATGGACAACTTACAAAGTCCCGGCGCGTTTCAGCCTATGGCTTTCCTCAGGGTGTTGAATTGAAAGTATAATGACATTCTGTGGTGCAGCTTGTCACTGTTTTCAGATTTAGTTTCTTATTAATGAAATGCCACTCTTCACTCCGGAGTCCATAAAGAACTGGTTTCATTTTAAGGGCTTTAAAATACTACATGTATTTTTAACCATTTTATACATTTTTTTATTCATTGTTTTGTTTGAGTGTCCACCTGAGTGTTTTGTATGTAAGAAAATGATATGACTATAATGAATCCCCTTTCTTATCCACAGGAGTGCATCTTTAGATGTGGAGCCCATCTACACGTTCAGAGCTCACAGGTACAGTCATGACTTAACACCTGAATAGATTTCATTGAACTGAGTGAATTATACATATAAATAAAAATGTCTTGCACAACTCAGCCCATAGCATCAGAATCATACCTGTCTGTGTCCACAGGGGGGCAGTGTTCAGTGTGGTGATGAGTGCGACTGGGGACCAGTGCTTCAGCGGAGGCCTGGACGGGACCATCCAGTGCTGGAACACCCCCAATCCAAACATCGACCCCTATGACTCTTATGGTAAACAACTTAAAATGTTGTAGTAATAGGTCATAGTTTGTTGAGCTTTTTTTTTAAATTACCAAATCATAATTATACTGTTCTTAAGATTAAATTTAACAGGATTGGATTGGCCTTATTGGAGCATCTTGTCTAGAATGCATGTTATGCTTCTCAAAGTGATTTATATTGTTCTGTCCGATGGTTTACTGTAGAGCTGTCTGATATGAGATAAAAATATTTGATAACTATATGTTGTATGGCGACCTATATCAGAGCAATATTTACATTTTTTTGACACAATTATTGTCACCCTCTATGCTTCACCACACTAAATAGTTCATATAATTTGTATTTTTTACAACCATTTAACCCTATAATACTTTAAAATATCATGGCTAATAATTGGAAATTGACTGAGTTGTTTTATATTTTGTGTTCTTGTCCCAGACCCCTCTGTACTGCGGGGAGCATTGACGGGGCACACAGACTCTGTTTGGGGCCTGGTCTACAGCAGTGCTCACCAGCGCCTCCTGTCCTGCTCCGCTGACGGGACAGTGCGACTGTGGGATGCCAACAACACCACCTCTCCAGCTCTGGCTGTCTTCAACGAGAATAAAAGTAAACACATAAGAAATGTTATTAAAATTTAAACTCAAATAGACATGTTCTGTTTACAAAGCAGCACCATTTACCAGTTTTCTCACAACAAAAACATCCACTTTATCTTTGCATGGCCTTCCTGATGGACATGTCCAGTCTTCTAGCATGTAAAATATCGTACAAGTAAAGCTAGTGTAATCTGTCTTTCGTCCAGGAGTAGTCCATGGAAGAAAAGGTTTTTCTAAAATGTCTGGACAATGTTTTTGAAATTGAAATGTCTCTACTGTCAGAAAGAAGTCTTTTTCCATCTGAAAGTACTAGTCTAAATTCTTGCTTCTCAGTCCAGTTCCTTCAGATTGAAAATTACTTCTGGATGGGAGCTGAAATTTCTCAATTTCAGACACATTCCACTGATGACTACCTTTTGAAATAGCAGCCTTTATGTATGTACTAACCTTTCTTCCCACTAGACATGTTCACTTTTGACTTATTCTTGACTGATTGTTGGTTTATATTAGGGATGGGCATGATTAATCGATTAAGCGATAATTGATCATTAAGAATTTCGTCGATTACGTTAATTTTAATCGACAAACCGAATGTAGGTTGCTGTGCGTAGCGTGACCAAACAGGTGTCTGTACATGTGTCTCTCTGCACTCAGAAGGAGCGAGCAAACACAAACATTCGGTCAGTCTGCAGTGTACTGAAGCACAAATGCGTATTTAACGATGACTTCTACAAGAAAGTCCACGCTTTCCGTTGCGTTCGGGACAAGTGTGAGTCCATGTGCACAGTGTACAAAGCAGGAACATATGTTTCGATGTCCAGTGGGAAAAAGTTTTACCAGGTGAGAGTCGCGCAATGTCGATGACGAGTCCCCACCTCCCTCCCCCCGTACGGTGTCCTGGTTTTGACAAACGCAAATATGGTCACACTAACCTGTATTCCACTGAGTCATGTCTTTTAATCCGACAGAAATTGACCGCATCAGCGACACAAGAGCTGTAGTTTTATTTTCGCTTAGTTTATGCAAATTAGCGATGCGGTTTTAAGTTTCGTTTCTGTGAGAGTTGCGCAAAACTGAATTAAACACATTAATAATTAATAATGTCAAACGGATTGATGTGGCTCTATAGTGGTTACGGTTTATATGTCGTAAAGTTGAATTTATTTATGCAGATTAGTAGTGCAGATAGTAATAATAATGATGATAATTTTAATATAAAAACGTTAATGATTAATCGATAATCGATCGTTAATTCTTCCGACGATCGATTAAGAAAATTTCATCGAATGCCCATCCCTAGTTTATATGCTGTGAAAAAAGTGTTATAGCTAACAGTATAAGTGTATAGCTACAGGCAGTAATATGGCAGGAAACTACTATGAAATTACTTCTTTTTACTTTCTGACAGCCATGTCAGTGTATTTGAATATAATACTGTATATAGTTTATTTGTGAATCTTGTATATGAGTGTAAATGGTTGTGTCTCTCAGAGCTTGGTATCCCGTCCTCGGTGGACCTGGTCTGCAGTGAACCGGCTCATCTGGTCTCATCCTTCACGAGTGGAGAGATCGGCCTCTTTAACATGGAGACTCAGCAGCTTGTCCTGAGTCTGGACACCAACACAGAGCAAGGTACAAAAGAGACTTCAACCAGAGCTGAAATGGGACTCCTGCAGAGAAGATAAAACTATCAGGATTTTTGCCTCTAAACAGCTAGCTTCTACTGTTTAGTCACTTCCTCTAGATGTAGCAGCGGGTACCAAAAAATAAAGCTTATGTTTAGATGGTGAAGCAATGAAGTTAGTCAGCTCTTTGCTAACCTCTAGTGGTGACTGCAGGTAAAGCTCCAAATATTTAATGTATAGTTAGCCTCAGAGCATCATTTTCTAAGTCACTTTCAAGGTTTTTGAGAAAATACTAAAATAAATTGACACTGTAATGAGATGACAGCTTGCCCAATAAAAATAAACAAACAAACAATTATGATTCCAGTGCACCTTTACAATAAATGGGATGTTTTTGCTTATTTTTCCTTAGGCACACCTTCTCACATCAACAAGGTTCTGAGCCACCCGACCCTCCCCATCACCATCACAGCACAGGAGGATCGCCACATCAAGTTCTATGACAACAACAGTGGGAAACTCATCCACTCTATGGTTGCTCATCTTGACGCAGTCACCAGTTTAGCTGTGGACCCCAACGGACTTTATCTCATGTCGGGAAGTGAGTGATTCAGCCGCTGTGGCTCAGACTGATCTTATCAAAGATGTGTCAGATAGCACTGACCTCAGGCTGTAGGGCTGATCCCTGATACAGACTACACCACTCACATATAGCTCTTAGTCTCAACATGATCACATTTTCATATTTAATGTTTGGCTTTATGTTGATTTAGTGTATTTTCTGTTCATGCCTGCACGCTGAACCTCTTCTGTCTCTCCCAGGTCATGACTGCTCCATCCGCCTGTGGAACCTGGAGAGTAAGACCTGTATCCAGGAGTTCACGGCTCACAGGAAGAAGTTTGAGGAGTCTATTCACGACGTTGCATTTCATCCGACTAAATGCTACATCGCCAGTGCCGGCGCAGACGCTTTGGCGAAAGTGTTCGTATGACCCTGCGGCCCGGCCCTCTGACTCCGCCTCCTTCGATCAGGGACCAATAGAGACGCAGAAGGGAAGGACTCTGTCCCTGAGTGAAACAGGCTTTCTGTGGAGAGGAACTATTCAGTCCCCCATCAACCATCCAGGCAGGCCTGGGTGTACGGCCACAGCGCCCCCTGCAGACTCACCTCCGCCACTGGAGGCTCAGGACTCAAACCTGGACTGGAGGTCTCCAGCTCTGCCCCTCCCTCAGGCCCCGCCCACCCGCCAGGCCCCGCCCACATGTCAGGCTCGAGTTATGTTGATCCAGAATCATGAGGTTCACTCAGAGCTATCCCTGACTGACTCTGCTTGCTGGCCTGCCTTTATTTTCCTTTTTAAAACACTTCTTGACAAACGTGCCTTTGGTTTCAAAAGGTCTGAAAAGTTATTTTAACAAACTTGTTCTTTGGGAAAACGTGAGGAAGCGGCGAAGACATGGAGCTGTTTGTCACAATGTTGTTGATTTTAACATTGGATGTAAAATTACAAATGCTTATAATAAACAAAATATATATTCAGTCTTAAAATCTTAACTGTGCAGCGTTTGAGTTTGAGTGCTCCTTTTGACAAAGTGTGGTTGGGGAATCAAATTTGTGCATTTCAAGGCAATGCTAATGAGTGATACAGACAATGGGATATATATTGCCTGTTTGTTAGATTAATTGTACACTTGAGAAGTAAGACTACATGTGTCCAAAGTTAACCTTTTTTGGTTATAAAGACAATTCAAACTTGGTTCTTATAGATGTCCATTTTAGGAAAAACTATCTGATTTTGGCCAGTTTGCTCTTGTTTGAATTGAATGGCTTGTACTCTGTAGTTTTCCCCAGTTGTGTGGACATGCTCAGTGTGATGTTTCATGTCCTGATATTTACAGTAGTCCAGTGTTTAGCAGGAACTTAGTACTGTAGGACTATTTGTAAAGACTTCAAACTCCACCATCGCTGAGGGCAGACCGCTGCAGCTAACTGTACAGTGAATGAGGAGGTGGGTGGAACCAATCAGAGATGTACATGTGTGTACAGCTTCAATCAGCCGTTTTCTCAGTCACTGGTTTGTATATGAAAGTATGTTCAAATAAAACCTGCTGTAAAATGTGATTCTGAATATTTGTTGTTTCTACTTTTTTTTTTTCTTATTCACACTTGATAGACAATTGTCGTTTGATCACATTTCTTCCCCAAAGTCTGAAATCAGCACTCAAACACATGCTTTTACTGACAGATGAGCAGATACTTCATTTTAAAAAGTCATGGATTTGCCTACATGTCCAGTTAATCCAATTTTATCACCAGTGATCAATACAATGGTGCTTGTTTTTTTTTTTGTTTTTTTTAATTGAGAATTCCTGTGGCACAGTGGCAGTAAAAGCATGTGGTTTGGGACTTATGAATAAATTATTATTATTAAAGAATTATTTCTCTTAAATTGCAATGATTCAAAGTCTTGTTTGTGTTCAGGAAATTCATATTGAAAGCATTCTTGTTTTAAATAAGAGAATTTTTAAAATAAAATTATAACCTATATCCTAGTTTTATCCCTGCTATCGGACTTCTCCAATGATCTTGGCACCCTCTTATGACCTACAGTTGGAGAATCAAGAACCAAAAAGTTGGAATATGGAGATCAAAATGAATATACAAGTATTAAACAGCAGAGAACAAAATCACACATGACCAAAAGTCTTAAATATTTTCAGAATTTTATTAAAAATATCACAAAATATTAATATTTGAACATTAGCGGAAGGATTTTAATATATACATTTACAAACAATGAAATTATAAATATATTTTCAACAGAAAAAGCTGCAGAGTTGGAAGCAAAATGCACTGTGAAAAAATTAAGACAAGTATACCTCTACATTATTGACAAACCGTCCATATCCATAAATTCAGCACCAAGAAAGTCTCCAAGGAACTTAATGCCCTCAGTATGTACCATCTCTTTCCCATTAGGAGACACAGATTTATACAAATGTAAGCACCTTTTGAAAATTGAAGGCAATAGAGGAAGTTAAGTTATTTTTGGGACACATTTTATATTCAAATACAATTTTTCCCTCTTGCCTTGTCAGTATTAAGCAACCACATTTAAATACTAGTCACTGATAACCTTATTATGTATTTTATTTAAATAAATTACTTGGTGTAACTTTTTTTAGCCTGCATAACACATGATGGAAAAGGGTCTCCAGGACATAAGAAGATACTAAGGTGAATTCTGTAGGTGAAAACCAAATGACTTGGCCCTCTTCTTTATTGTGATGAGTTGCATAACTGCGAATGCAAAGGTTTTCCAGAACCATTCCCATGAACTGGTATGGCTATGTTTATGTAGAGGGTATTTATTTATACTTGCATTGTAGCCAATGCAGCGCCTCCTAGTGGGCATCAAAGTGACTCCATTTACAGTGTCCAGAACGTCCCACATGCCCCTCTGTCTCAGTACAGTCTCTGCTCTCCCCCTCTTCAGTTTCTGGGCTGAGAGTTGAACTCCTGGCAGATGTTCTGGATGATTTTGGGCACATATTTGTACAGATTGTCAAACTCATCCACGAAAAAGGAATGGTCTTTATCAGGGTCTGTGGCGATGTATTCTAGTTCATCCTGGGCTGCCCATGCGATGCCGATGGAGTACGCAATCACCCCTGGACACAGAAAGACAGGAAGTGAGAAATACATATGGACTTAATGAGACAGCCTTTTTGTTCAGCCCACTGTAAACTTTGATTACTACGTAGAGCCTATAAACTGTATAACCTACTTGAAGGTTTTCTTCCAAACCAATAAATGTGATGTATTGTTATATAATTTAAGTTTCCCCTTAAGTTAATTGATTGATTAATTGGTGAGCTAGACCATGGTCAGCTCACCCACTACAGACCTATGCTTCATTTATTTTATTTGAGCACATTGGTTTCTCAGTACACAACAACAGTATATTTATTATAGACCTATAGACAGTATGCACTGCTCACCTTGGCGATGCACGGCCAGAGAAGGAGCCCTGACATCATCGTAGGACCTCCCGTCTGTGATTACGATCATGATTTTACGTTTGTTTGGTTTGGATTTACTGAAGAGCTGTTCTGCGGCATAGGTGATGGCTGCCCCTGTGCTCGTCCCCCCGCTCCAGTAGTTGATGCGTTTGATGGCATTGAGTAGCTCGGCCTTGTTATTGTATTGTCCAAAAGCAAACTCCAGCCTCTGTTCATACGTGTACTGCACCGCTCCCACTCTCGTGTCCGTGTCTGAGATCTCAAACTCTCGGGTCACGTTGGCGACAAACTGCAGCACGGTGCGGAAGTTCCCTGTGCCGACGCTGCTGGAGCCGTCGATGACGAAGGCGATGTCATTGGCGTTGAGGCAGGTCTTACTGCAGACAAGGCGGTCCGTGTCACAGACCCTCTTCACCAAAGGCTGCACAGCTTTCCTCAGGCCAAACCAGCTGGACACGGGCAGAGAGAAGAAGCCATTGGTGCGACACACAGCCTGGAACAGAGCACAGGGGACACTCCATCATGACATATCTGCATATTGTTTATGTTCTTGCTCCAGATCACAGATATGGTCATGAGCTAATAAAGCAAAAAAGAAGAAATGATACACATTACATTGTATTTATGGGGTTAAAGGTGCACTATGTAACTTAGAGTTGACCACCTGCTAGTCTCCATGGAGATGTTGTCGCTTAGCCCCAAATGTGAGATAATAGGACATTAAACTCAGTCTCCATAGAGACAAGTAACCTCACCAAGCAAAGTTACAGATCAGATCTATGGAGACGCAGGCCCAATCACAGTAAGCCTATTTTTAAAGTATTGCCTTTGTAATAAAATTGCACATTGAATATTTGCAAGAGATTTGTTCAATGCTATACTGTTTGAATATTCCAGACAAAGCAAACACCTTGGAAACAAAAAAGTGGCAGATCTCCATTTCATTTTTCCAGAAAAATTGCATATTGCAACTTTAAGTAACTGTTGATTTAATTAATTATTATGCATAATGTTCTTTTTAGCGCATGATCTATTACAACTCAAATTACAAACTGATCAGGCTGGTTGAACAAAATCAACCTTTATTCAAGTAAACAAGACATTGATATTCTGTGGCCATATGCCACAGTCCTTGGCTGCCTCCTATATTTTGCTCCAGGTCTTAACAAGTCTGTATCTGTCAGAGGGCCTGGATGTAGTGATGGTTAAATAGTAGAAGCAGTGGGCTTCAAACCGTAGTGTACTTCACCTAATACTTTATTGTGTTTTACTTCATTTTAAGAGGTGGGACTGAATAAGTTTATCATATCACATTCAAAAAAAAAAAAAAAAAGAAATACACGTTTTTGTTGTTGTTTTTGTTTGTTTGTTTTTTTAATATGTTGTTGTTTATACAACTACTAATTAAATGAATACTTAAAATTAAAACTAGAGTTAAGTTCTCTGAGCACTCTGTCAACCCACCTGTCAGAATAAATAATATCCACTGCCACATTTCTTCTTACCTTGTCCACAAAGTTGGCCTCCACCAAGTTGTGTTTTTCGTTGTCGTCTGGGCCCTCGATTGTGACAAAGAAGATATTTATCCCTGATTCTCGTGCGAGTCTGGATGCCTCCTCCACTTTATCTGTGGGCCAACCATCCACCAGGACCACTGCTACGTTTGGAGCGCCCCCTCTGTTCCCATTGGTGTCACTGAAGTACAGCTTATTAATGTAGGAAAGGGCCTTCCCTGTTCAGACAATAGAGGGCAGCAAACACAGAAATTTAGAATCTTTGTACCAGAAATATGCAGCTTAATCTATAGAGCTGATGTTTTGAAGATGATCTCAGAAAAGGCAGAATGAGTTGATAAATAAAAGAAGATTAGAATGGGGACCAGACTGAGACGTTTTAGGCATACATTTATTGAAATATAGGCCTACAACAAAATGCCCATCTAGTCTAACTACTATTATCTATCATAGTTTTCAAATAGTATTGAAACTGATATAATACTATTAACTACTGTAAAATATTGTCTTAATTTTGTTTTAGATTTGGTTTTGACCTGGATTAGACCTAGTCTGATTCATCAACCGGTTTCACTTTGTGGAAACCGTCTGACCTCGCAGCATAAGGATTTGTTTTATTTAACCAATCGCTGCTATTTGGTCATGACATATGTAATGCGCCAAATCCCGTAGGAAGAAGGGCAATAACATGTTTTCCCTTGATAAAATTCACCAAACGTTCCATTTGTGTTGGCTTTAAGTCCTTGATCTTGGGAATCGTTGCCAACACACAATGTCTGGCTTGGTCTACATCCATCTCGACCGCTTTGTTTACTGTTGTGCTGTATCACAAAAGGGACCCAGACAGGCGCTTGAGTTTGACGTCATGGCTTCACAGCTCTTCACTGATTGGCTGGTGCTCGGTCTACAACTTCCCCGGTGGCACCAGCCTGGTTCAATGATGATATTATGTATTATTTCAGCCCTGGTTAAATCTGTATTTACTCCTGGTCTTGTTGCCAGGTGTGTATTCAAAAAATTACTTAATAGATTATGAAATTAATTTATTGGATTATTCACCATTTTGGAGTGTCCTGAGTGAACTTCTGATCAAAAAATCAAAACAAACACCATGATCAAATATAGAAGCAGGCACTGTGGCACAGACAATATTTTTACCTAATCCCATTTTTTTATCTAAAAACTGGGATTAGGTAATATTTTAGTGTCTTGATACTGTTTCCAAATAAAAGTGTGCTGCTACTCAAAAAAGGTAAAAACAACATCGTAATGTTTTGAGGTAACAAATTGCAATATGTAATTTTACTACCATCTGTCACTAAAAATATCTAACTATATACTATGAATACTTCTGCATCGAAACATGGACATGTTTTGTGTGAGGAAACATACACAAAACCCAACTGACCTCTAGTTTGGGTTTATAGTGTGAATTGTAAACATATATATAACAATATAAAGTGCATTTGTCTCACTGTAAAAGCCAGCAGAAGACGTGGCATCCTATCATTTAGCCTGTCCTGTGGTCTCTGGTGGCACTATGGTCCACGTTTCATGACCACTCGCAATGTGCTGATTACAGAGCGCACGAGACACTATTCAAATCACAAAAGTAAAATTTAGCCAGTCATAAAGATGAATGTGGCACCGAGCATAGACAGGAGCGAAGACAAACATAATCTGACCCCCCGAAGATCGCCAAGGCATCTCAATCCTGCCGTATTTTGGTCAAAAACCATTCAAGAAAAACACAACTTTACAATGAAGAACTGTAATTTTCACCAACAGTATCTCGAAGCAAAATTAGATTTAATTGTATCTTTGCATGTGAAAATGTGCCAGTGCTGTAAAGATTGTGATAAGTGGCAGTGTTTTAATTTCACACCAGCGTATGTAGGTTTTATAGTTTGGTTTTGTAGTTTATGAATGCGCTGTAGTGTTGTGGACTCACCCACGTTGGACTGCCCCCCCTTCTGGACGATCTTTTCCACAGCCGACTTCATGTCTCTGGAGTTCGAATAGGACTTCAGGCTGATCTCTGTCACTGGGTCATCCCTAAAGGAAAAAAAAATTTAAATCTAATTCCAGTGTTTTATGTTCCATTTATGAATATGTATCAATGTATTTACGCTACCGTTCAAAAGTTTGGGGTCACCCAGACAATTTTGTGTTTTCCATGAAAAGTCACATTTATTTACCACCAGGAGTTGTAAAATGAATAGAAAATATAGTCAAGGTTAGAAATAATGATTTGCATTTGAAATAATAATTTTTTACATCAAACTTTGCTTTTGTCAAAGAATCCTCCATTTGCAGCATTTTCAACATTACAGACCTTTGGCATTCTACCTGTTAATTTGTTGGGGTAATCTGGAGAAATTTCACCACACATTTCTAGAAGCCCCTCCCACAATTTGGATTGGCTGGATGGGCACTTCTTGCGTACAGTACGGTCAAGCTGCCCCCACAACAGCTCAGTGGGGTTTAGATCTGGAGACTGCGCTGGCCACTCCATTACAGATAGAACACCAGCTGCCTGCTTCTTTTCTAAATAGTTCTTACACAATTTGGAGGTGTGCTTTGGGTCATTGTCCTGTTGTAGGATGAAACTGACTCCAATCAAGCACTGTCCACAGGGTATGGCATGGCGTTGCAAAATGGAGTGATACCCTTCCTTATTCAAAATCCCCTTTTGCCCTGAATAAATCTCCCACCTTGCCAGCACCAAAGCAACAGAGCACCATCACGTTACCCCCATCATGTTTGACAGATGGCGTCAGGCACTCTTCCAGCATCTTTTCAGTTGTTCTGCTTCTCACAAATGTTCTTCTGTGTGATCCAAACACCTCAAACTTCGATTTGTCTGTCCGTAACACTTTTTTCCAATCTTCCTCTGTCCAATGTCTGTGTTCTTTTCCCCATATTAATCTTTTTCTTTTATTGGCCAGTCTCAGATATGGCTTTTTCTTTGCCACTTTGCCCTGAAGGCCAGCATCCCTGAGTCGCCTCTTTACTGTAGATGTTGACACTGGCATTTTGCAGGTACTATTTAATGAAGCTGCCAGTTGAGGACCTATGAGGCGTCTCTTTCTCAAACTACAGACTCTAATGTACTTATCTTCTTGCTCAGTTGTGCATCAGGGCCTCCCACTTCTCTTTCTACTCTAGCCTGTTTGTGCTGTTCTAAGAAGGGAATAGTACACATTGTTGTAGGAAATCTTCAGTTTCTTGGTAATTTCTCGCATGGAATAGCCTTCATTTCCAAGAACAAGAATAGACTGTCGAATTTCAAATGAAAGTATTCTTTTTCTGGCCATTTTGAGCATTTAATTGACCCCACAAATGTGATGCTCCAGATACTCAACCCACTCAAAGGAAGGTCAGTTTTATAGCTTTTCTAACCAGCTAAACTGTTTTCAGCTGTCCTAACATGATTGCACAAGGGTTTTCTAACCATCCATTAGCCTTCTGACACAATGAGCAAACACACTGTACCATTAGAACACTAGAGTGATAGTTGCTGGAAATGGGCCTCTATACACCAATGTAGATATTGCACCAAAAAACAGACATTTGCAGCTAGAAGAGTCATTTACCACATTATCAATGTATAGAGTGTACTTCTGATTAGTATAAAGTCATCTTCATTGAAAAAAATATTGCTTTTATTTCAAAAATAAGGAAATTTCTAAGTGACCCCAAACTTTTTAACGGTAGTGTATGTGTTCGCATTCCAGTGCAAAATTTTTTCTTAGGAGCTTTAAGCAATGTTAAAATGCTCTTACCTCCTCAAAACATGCCTGGAGTTGTGTTTTGCTTCATTCACACATGTTTGAATAACCCTTTATTATTATTAATCAACTCCAAAGCTCAAAATGCTGTGGTAGTTTTCATTTTGTTCAGTAGAGATTGGCAATGCCAGGTTTGAAATTACCCAAATTATTCTAGTGAAGTTGTATGGAGTTTAAAAACAAACAGAACAGAATGTTTTCTGTTTGAGTGAAGAACTCAGCCTAAATATGGAGGGTTTCTGTGTTAAACATGGGGTGAATAAAAACAAAAACACAGCTCCAGGTATTTTGTGATGAGGAAACAGAATATAGTTTAATAGCTTTAAATATCTGGACAAAAAGGACACATATTTTAGGTATGAATTTGTATTAATGTATGTGTATGTCAGTGCAATATAAATAAATATAGTATTGTAGTGTTTCTGTCATCTCTCATCAATAATATCATCACTTATATATTCACTTATGTATTTACATAGTATATTTTTGAGGTAGTATTGTTACTGTTTATTGTTAGATGTAAGAAAAGTATAATTTTTAGAAGCTTACCCTTAAAATTTTAGCTAAGAAAATTTTTTAAATAGGAAGCGCTTTTATAACATCTGATCTTGCAAACGCATCTGCATTTTTCCAAAGAGAAAAGTATTTGGCATTTTTCCTTCAATGCCAAAATTGTTTCACCAAACTTACTCATAAAGTTTGTTGGCTAAAACTAAGCTTGAACTAAAAATACATGACATGGAAAAATTACAGAGCATGTGGACACTGGATGATAGTCTCCAGGTCTATTCAGTTTTTAACAGGGAATACAGAATTCTTGGCTGTGTCAGGATAAATTGTGGGGTTGTACATGAAGTTGTCTCTTACCCGTACTGGATTATGCCCATCATGGGTCCAGCTATGCCAACATTTATAGTCTGTGCCACTTCAGACAAAAAGTCCTTTTGGATTTTAAACCTGCGCTTCCCAATGCTCCAGCTGCCGTCCATCAAAAAGACAAGGTCCACCTTACAATCTGCAAGAATTGTACATTTATTCATTTATAAGTCATGCTGTGTAATTTGGCAAAGCTACATATAACTATACCTTAACTTGCCTTAATAAAGCATAAAGAAAGAAAGACATAATTCATAGTTTAAATAGTGACTTAGAAATCCCTCAGACGTTAGGAGTTAGGTTTAAGTAGTTCATTCTTAATAAACTATTTGCTTATTATGAATTTTTCATGCTTTATTAAGGCTAATTAAGGTGCTATCCATATTGTTTTTCTGGTGGGCGATGACACGATGTGCTTGGAGTTAAATAGAACAGTGTTTTCCCAACTTTTTTTTTAGGAACCCATATTTTAAAAGTCACAAACCTTCATAACCCAAGTCAACAGACATTCTTGGTAAATCACAAAATAAAGGTGGATTTGACCATTCTTGAACATTAATGAGGGTATTTTATTGTTGACTGAGTGATCATGTCTCCCCGACCATGATTAGTATTACTCAAGTTTTAAACAATGACAAACAGTAATTGAAGCAGCAATAAAATGATCCATAAGTCGCCAATTTGGACATTAAATGTAGCCCATTTCTTTGTCTTTTCAACATTCAGTTGAACCAGCAATATTGGAACAAAATAATCTGTAGAATTATATATTGCAGAGCTACATGCAGATCGTGACAAGGCGACCCAAAAAATATCTCTTGCGATCTACCCGAGGGTCACGACCCAGTCTTTGGGAAACAATGGTCTAGAAAATTCCACAGTATGGCATTAAAATGATCTATCTCAGTGGAGACAAGCAAGTGGCACCATTAAGTCAAATGTCAGGTCTGATCTGTGGAGAGGTGACCCCGCTCACAGTATAATGCATGTTTTTTTTTTAAAGTAGATATGTTTAATGTCATACTATGAAACATTCAAGCAAAATAATTTCATCTTCATAGAGACAAGAAACACTTGGCATACCCTCCACCAAAGGTACACAGTGCAACTTGAAAACATAAAAACAGCAACAGAAACTCTGTGAACTTACTTGGATCTCCTTGGGATACTGGTTCAGGGATTCTGGGAATAGGCTCCGGCTCTCTCAAATTGAAACCTAAAAAAAATGCAAATTGCCAGTAAGAAAACACAATTACATCAAATGGCAGTGGCTCTACTATGTGCTTAAACTGAATTAAATGAAGATGTCCTGGGTTAGCTTGTTCTCTGGTCTAAAATTGAAGAGACATGTTACACATTAAAGCTCACTTTGGTGCTGCTTCAGTCATTCACTTTCCAGAAATCCCAAAATTCACGTTGGTTTTGGTATAATTTCAGTGACTGGGGACACGTAATCTCAGCATTTAACTGGGACTACTGACTCTTCCAATTACAGGTTAAGAACAAAAATACCAAAATCCCGTCCTTGGGGTAGCAGTGACCAAAAGTGAGATGTGGGTCAGGATACATAACAATCAGTGTGAGGAAGTGCTGGTTTACCTGATTCATAAAGGTTGATGTCTGGCTTCCAAGCGTCCACTGGCTCCACTAAAACAATAGACAACAGGAAACATCATTAAAACACAAAATTATATGTTGTTTTTAAGGTCACACGGGGAGACCAAAGTGGACTATAATTCAGGGTTATTCAACAGGAAGTCCATGGGGCAGATCAGAAAACAAAGGTCAAAATGTACTTGCAAAGAGGACTTAGTGGTGAAAATTAATGTTGCATGACATCAGCAATATTGTCGATAATAAGGTGTGCAGAGCAATATTATAGAAAAGTCATTTCTAAAAGTATATTATGTGAAAAAAATGTACTATACTTTTAAATGTGGGTTCAGCCAATATCCTAATCTCTTGGTATGTTACTTTCACCATATGCAGCTCACGGTTCAGTATTTATTGCAATATTTTGTGGAGGAACAGAATTTTGAATATGCTACATTTTCCTTTTAAAATGACAAGACTTTGGTTCTGTCATAATCCAAAGAATTAAGATTTAAAAGTGCTTATAACAGTTATTTCTACATGTACTAGTAGTCGGCACTGAAACGGAGCAAAGAATCATGGTCTAAGTAGTTCACTCTGTCTTTTTAGCTATATTGCTGCACTATAATATAACTAATCATTTTAGTAGAGAGACTTATAATTCGATATATTGTGATGGCCCACAGTATTATTGTGAGACTTTTGACGATACAATATCACAATATTTCGGTTATTTTTACATCCCTATTACAAAATATGCCATTATCTTATGTATTACTTTAAGCATTTATTCAACTGCAGCTGTCTTTATCGCTAAAAAAAACAGATAGACAAACATGAAATCTGAATATAAGTGACCTTGATTCTCAACTCTCAACTCTAAATTTAATGTCATACTGTGGAACATTCCAAGCGAAGCAACATCTCCAAAGAAGTAAAAATCGCACAAGGAAAAAGATAATTAAAAGGCCTTTATTTAGGTGGCCAAAGCCAACATGTTTCTTTCTGGTCTTCATCAGGGCTTAGTTTAAGGATGAAGACCAGTTTGGTCAAAACATGTTGGCTTTGGTCATCTAAATAAAAACCTTTTAACTATATTTTTCCTTGTACTTCTTTGGAGTGCCTGGATCCCGTTGTATTTTAAGTTTTGATCCTTTTTTCAAGAGCACCCACTACCTACTCCCACTGATTGGAACACCTGCAGCAAACAACCACACAAAGCAACATCTCCGCTGAGACAAGCAGATGGCAGAAAAAAATCTTTAAAATGTCATTTAAAGATTCAGTTGAGATTCTATATATGATTGTTAGTTCACAATATTATTATTTTTTTTTTGCATTTTGTTTTTGGCAGAATAAACTTTTAAGCATGACTTTTAGTAACACAGAACAAATATTCTACTTTTACATCATACACTCAGATGTTGCTGTTATTTATACCACTCCCTCACCTCTCGTGTGGGTTGAATCCAGTGACACTTTGCGATTTCCATCTGCGTCAAACGATCTGGACACTGTAAAAATAGACCCAAACATAGTAATAATGCCACAGACTGCAGATGTTCCACAAATGTAAAAACTCAAAGTCTACACATTTGATTAAATAAAACAAGAAGGCGTTTATGTGGTCTGATGGTTTTGGCCACTGAATTTTCCAAACTGGGCTGTTCTCATGCCAAACAACCTCACCAAAACAGATGCAAAAATCCAGTCTGTAATCTGTAGCACTGAGGGCTTCTTGGATAGGCTTTTGTTTTTTTTTGGTAAAGTAGTAATATTACAAGTTAGATATGTTAAAATAATAAATACGCTGCATCCTTTCATTTGGTGGTGGTATAAACTTGCTATAACTAACCAGGCGACCCCACACCACAGTTCAAACCACAGGGCAGGCACACCCATGAATGACAGATAAGGACTTGAAAGTGTTTCTAAAAATAAATACAGGCAGAGACAATGTGTGTGGCATGGACAAAACATGTGCCATGGTCTCTTTAAAATACTACAAAATAAAGTATTGTGCAAACGTATGAGACAGGCTTTCAAGATATGTTAAGAGAAAAGTTGAATCAATTTACACAGTATAACAAACTGAATTTAAAGAACTGAATAACTAATAAAATATAATGGTTTAAATGAGAAGCATGTGGGATAAGTAAAACTATACCAAAGCTACCATTACCTTAACCACTACTGCTACGACTCCTACATAATAGTAAAATTGACTTAGATTCATTAGTATAAAGGATAATTTTCATTCACTCCTCCGTTCACTACAGAGACAGTGACAGATAGTGGGGGCAACTGATGAAGACGAGGCTCCTGATCCGCACCAGCGAGTGACCTTCAAACACCACTAACCCACAATATATTCACCTGGAAGGTAAGCACTGGCACTTATATTTTCAAGAGTACTATTACTACTGTTACTACTACTACTTTTACTACTGTAACTACTACTACTGTTACTAATGTTACTACTAATACTGTAACTACTGTAACTACTACTACTGTTAATATTACTACTGTTACTTTTACTGTTTCTCCTACTACTACTACAGCTACTCTTATTACTACTACTACTACAACTGTTTACTACTACTGTTGCTGTTACTACTATTACTCCAACTACTACTCCACCTACTGTGTTGCTGTTACTACAACTATTATTACTACTGCAACTATAGTGTTACTACTACTCCTACAGTTACTGTGTTACTGTTACTACTACTACTACTCCTACAGTTACAGGGGCGGCAGTAGCTCAGTTGGTAGAGCATTCGCGCACTGATCTAAAGGTTGGCGGTTCGAATCCAGCTCTCAACATAAACATCACAGGTTGAGCGGTCAGATCCACTGACCCACAGGTTTGGCTGGTGTGATTCCAGTTCCCACAGATGAATGCTGTCGTTGTGTCCTTGGGCAAGACACTTAACCCACCTTGCCCACAGTGTCTGCGTACACTGGTGTGTGAATGTGTGTGTGAATGGGTGAGTGGTTCCTTGTTGTAAAGCGCTTTGAGTGCCTTGAAGGTGGAAAAGCGCTATAGAAAAATGTGACCATTTACCATTTACAGTTACTGTGTTACTGTTACTACTACTATTACTCCTACCGTTGCTGTTACTGTTACTACTACTGTTGCTGTTACTGTTACTACTGTTACTACTACTGTGTTACTACTACTGTTGCTGTTACTACTACTACTACTACTGTTGCTGTTACTACTACTACTACTGTTGCTGTTACTACTACTACTGTTGCTGTTACTACTACTACTACTACTGTTGCTGTTACTACTACTACTACTACTACTGTTGCTGTACTACTACTACTACTACTACTACTACTACTGTTGCTGTTACTACTACTACTACTGTTACTACTACTGTTACTACTACTACTACTACTACTACTACTACTACTGTTGCTGTTACTACTACTACTACTACTACTGTTGCTGTTACTACTACTACTACTGTTACTACTACTGTTACTACTACTACTACTACTACTACTGTTGCTGTTACTACTACTACTACTGTTACTGTTACTACTACTACTACTACTACTGTTGCTGTTACTACTACTACTGTTGCTGTTACTACTACTACTACTGTTGCTGTTACTACTACTACTGTTGCTGTTACTACTACTACTGTTTCTGTTACTACTACTACTACTACTGTTGCTGTTACTACTACTACTACTGTTGTTGTTACTACTACTACTACTACTGTTACTACTACTACTACTGTTAGTACTACTACTACTACTACTACTACTTCTGTTACTGTTACTACTACCATCTACTGCTGCTACTACTACTAATACTACTAATACTACTTCGACTACTACTACTAGTACTAGTAGTAGTAGTTTATTTGGATGCTAAAGTACATACATAGGACACATTGTGGATGTGTCCTATGATGTAGCTCTGGGTCGTACAGTATTGTGTCCACTGTTCCTTATTTGCCCACAGACACTCGAGACAAAGTGGGAGAAGTGCCTTGCCCAAGGACATAACAGTTATCATTAACCAGCCTTTTTATTAGTGGACTAAAGTTGCCTAGCTGCTACTACAAAGGCCACACCTGTGTAAAACGTTTGCACAGTACTTAAATTGGAACTGCCCAGTAACTAAGAAGAAAAGACACTTACGGTACGGTCCAAAGTTATAATACCAGCGCTCAAAGTCAGAGAAATCAGGCCTTTGATCCCGAGCTGGAGGAGGATGTTGTGAGAGCTGTTAGATCCCACTATATCAAAATGGCCGCCCAACGTTTCCATGGTTTGGATCGGTTGAACCCAGTCTTCAACCAATGCCAGACCAGTGGAAACCAAGCAGCAGCTACAACCTTATTCACATGCATTAACTGTAAACCTGCAACATGTGCTAAATGTACTACAACGGTGATTCTCAAACTGAGGGTCAAGGACTTCTATTTGTCTATGGAGGTATGGAAGATAATTTGTTCCATTAGATATAGAATTTTAAATAGAGGTGAATTTCTCACTTTGAACTATTTAACTCTGAAAAAAGATGTTTGAATTATTTTTATTCTGAATTTTAGCTGCTGAAATTTGTACTTTTTTCAATATGTTTCAAATTCAAAATAAAAAAATCACCTTTTAAATATTCAGCACAAATATTTTCAAGTCAAAAAAGTCAAAATTTAGAGTGTAAAATTTGCAGGGAAAATTTTGCAGCAAAAGCAGAAGCAATTGATCATGTGTGAGTGGTGAGGACAGAGGCTGTCCTATACATGCATCCTGAATTTCGGACTTCCGGTCATATACAATGCATACTGGAAAGGATCCTCTGAAAAAGAAAGCATGTTTGATTCCCCAGTGGGATGCATCTATTGTCAAATCAATCTTTTGAACCATATCGCTTTTGTTTCTGGTTCTGATATCGTCATATTTTAGTTATGAGATTCGGACATCATAATTGTGTGGTTGTTGGATGTCCTAACAGCGAAAAATGGCTCGAGAAATGGGCTTCGGAAGTTTGTGAACTCCATAAATGCAAAATGGATTCCGATCTGTGTGACTGCAAACCTCTGTTCAAACTGTTTCCCTTCCCAATGGAACTGAAAAATAGTGAAAAGCGAAGGGGATGGGCAGTATTGATACACAGGGTGGACGAAAACGGTAACCTTTGGCTACCTAAGAAATCATCCCAAGTTTACAGTGAACATTTTTCTATGCCGTTGAATGGAAACAATTTGAATGGAGGTTTGCAGTCACACAGCTCTGATTCCCTTTTTGCAGTTATGGAGTTTGTTTATGAAGCCCATTTTCTGCTGTTAGGGCATCCAACAATCACACAGTTACGATGTCTGAATCCCATAACTAAAATATGACAATATCAGAACCAGAAATAAAAGCAATATAGTTCAAAAGTCTTGACAATGAGCAGACTTTGACAATAGACACATCCCACTGGGACATCAAACATGGTGGTTTGATGCTCACTTTTTCGGAGGATCATTCCCAGTATGCATTGCACGATGACAGGAAGTCCAAAATTCAGGATGCATGTATTGGCCGTTCTAATCGGTTGGTGGGGTTTACACTTAAAAAATAAAAGAGACGAGGTTGAAGAGGCTAATTCTGACCAATCAGATCAGTTCACTGCACCACTTCCTGCTTCACTTTGGATCTCTTCCTTCTGCCTTAGCATTTTGGATCTTTGCTGTGAATTTTTTTCACTGCAAATTTTACACTCTGAATTTTGTCTGTTGAACTTGAGAGCTTGAAAATATTTGTGCCGAATATTTAAAAGGTGATTTTTATCATTATTTTTTTAATATTGAATGTTAAACACACTTAAAATTTGAGCCACTACAATTCAAACATGTTTTTTCAGAGTTAAAAAATTCAAAGTAAGAAATTCAACGGCATTTGAAATAAAAAAAAAAATAAATCTGATGAAACAAATTATCTGCCATATGGGGTTCCCTGATTTTGATTTTATGTTTGATCAGGGATCATACATGGTTTAGAGGTGCTTTTGTTGTATTTTAGTCCTAGATATACTTATACTTTTTATGAAAAGTTTGAAAATCACTGTATTTTGGCATATTGCAGGGTGGCATGTAAACAACATCCAAAAGAAACTACATTCTTCAAAATATTTTATGAAAGAACCATGACATGCAATGACACATACATGCATCATACGTAGGTGGGTAGTGTCTAAAATAAAAACAAAAAATTAAAATTAAAATTAAAATGTTGACTGATTACATAGGAAAAAGAAAAAAGATCATTAATCACATATATATTCATACAAAAAAAAATCTAAAACTAAAGAATAGATGACTTTGCATTAAGGTGAAGTAACTGTACTCTCTACCCACCTGTCCATGCAGTGTAATTGTACATGTGTTTATGGTAACTGTCCATGGGGGGGACAGGGGACGAGGGAGGGGGGACGGGGGAGGGGGTGGACTTACCTGGGACGTCCACTGTGTCAGCGGTCTCAGTCCATGAGTATCCTGAGTCTGGGACGGCATAACTTACATCTGAACGAGAGGTGCAGTGGTCAGTTTCTATACTATGTGGTCATGCAACTTTTCTACATTTTATTAAAGTGGAATTTTCCACAGTATGGCTTATCTAAATTTGGGTTTATATATCAAATCTGACTTGTAACTTAACAAGCATGTTAGAGAAAAGTTAGATAGTACACCTTTAAAATTATTTATGATGAATTGATTAATATGGGTGTATTATTATTGTTTTATTATCACCATTTATATTTTCGCTCCTTGTTATTATATTATACTGTGATGTGTGAGCTACTGTGCCCAAGTAATTTCCCTTGTGGATCAATAAAGTTTGTCTAAGTCCAAATCTAGGTCTTTGGACATATATATGTTTAAATTTCAAAAGTAAAGTGAATCTATGATAAACATTTAACACTACAGATCTTTTAAATGTCTTATCTGCAATCTATTTTGTTCACTTTTGCTCTTGATACATTATTTTGTCATACATTTGATTGCCCAAGTGTTCTAGAGATCTGTTGCAAACATTACTGATCTGTTTCTTGGCTTTTGTTTGAGAACAGATCAAGGACTCTAAACTGTTTTATCGAGCAGTAAAAATCTAACTGTGTATGTTTCTCCATTGTGCACAGTTAAACTGCCAAAGACAATGGCAGACCAGGCATTCAAAAACATTTATAGCTCCAGTGTTTTCTTAAAGTTTGAGTTGACCTTGAAGAACCATTGGCGATGAGTCAAGTTCAATCAGTTCACATTTAGTTTTATTTAAGTCACTAGTACTATTTGTATCTTGTACTACTAGCAACAGCTCATTACTTTACTCATTACTTAGTTTTGCATTCTAAAACTGAAGTATAGATCAATATTTGAACTGTCAGTAAATACTTTTTCAATATACTAAGTGTTAGTTTCTGTAGATTAGTAATTCATAGACGCATGGTATTATTTTGAGTTGTATTAACACTTATTTTTCTCTTTGTTATTTGTTATATTGTAATGTGTGAGCTACTGTGTCCATGTAATTTCCCTTGTGGATCAATAAAGTTTGTTTAAGATCATTCTAAAGCTATTCAGGAAAGGTTCATTTCTGTCTTGTGAATGCATTTTTTTAGTATCGATAACTCAAATAAGTATCTAGTTTCGATACTACTTTAAGTATCGATTAGTATGTGATTTTCCATACTTTTGACAACCCTACTTTGTATATAATCGAGTTTGTGAAATGCATGAATGAAGCAGTGGTGTTAGTGTGTCCATTCAGAGGTAAGTTGTTTGCCTTGTTACCTGCGGGACGTCTGGCTCCAGGAAACCAATCGGGCCGTGGGTAGGAGGGGGGCGCCCAGTCCCTTCTGGGAAAAGCTGTGCAGAGGGAGATTAAAAAGCTGCCTTCAGGACAGAGGACAGAGCACAGCCGATGTCCCACACAAGGAGGGGCGAGCATGTGACCTCCTCCTGCTACTGCCACGTCGAGACAGCAGCGGGAGAGGGGCGCACAGTGTACCCCCTTACACGTATAAACACACTCAAACAAGACTGAAGGCATGGAGCTTTTTCCTCAACAAGCTTTTCTGCTTTTAGATCAAGAGTAGACGCACTGAACACAGAAAAGCAACTCATGTGTTAAAAGACGATATTTGTATGGATGTAAAATTTCCAAATAATATTACTTACATCCATAGCAAATAGTCTTGAACATACTATACATTTTTGAAGAAGAAAAATGTATGTATCCCACGAACACACAAACCTGCCATTCAATTTGGTTGTATGGCTTTCTAAGAATTAAAACAAGACCACTGCAATACTAAATACCAAAAAGGTGCACTTTATGACGATACTATTGTCACTTGAAAACATGCTCAGACTGGTAATCTATACTACCGGGAAAATGCCTGGTGGGCTAGTGCGGTAACCTCCGATTCAGGGGCGGACTGGCAATCTGTACATTCTGGAAAAGTCTCCCCTGATCCTCAATTTCCACCATCCCGAATTAAGCACTCCTTCCTCTCAAAGGTCAAAGTAAAATTAAGACCTGATTAACTTTTGATATACAAAAATGCTAATAGAGCTTATGATACTGCTACCACTAAAAAGATCAAGCAACATTCTAATTGTGAATGTATGAAGATTCTTTTTTGTCTCCACGTCACAAATAGGCAAGGAGCAGTATCCAAAAAATTATGATATCCAAAGAAATTGAGCAAAGCATTCAGTGCATTTTCAATTATTATTTCAGATGTGATTGGGTAAATGACCTGGTCTGTACCAAGGACCCCTCCAACGCAGTCCTACAACATCAAAGGTTATAATACTCCCTACAATGGAAGCATAGCCAGACTTTATAGAACAATACAACCTCAAAGTCTTATGCCTCTAGGTCTGAACGTATTTAAACTTCCCCTGACAAATTGAAAACCCAAACATATGTCATTTACTAGTCCATGGTCATTTTGGAATTTACTCTGCATTGCTAACCACATTCCCACCAATCCTGAACTACTGGCGGTCCAGTGAAGCAGAGATGTGTTTGGATAAAGCCAGAGTCAGACTAGGGCCAGCGTGGATGGGACAATGCTCAGATTAGGCTGGTTAAATGCTCCCAGCTCCCCATGGGACAGTGCAGTTGTTTTTTACTATAGAAACAGGTGCTTTCATGTGATCCACTTTAACTCTCATTCACCAACAGTTCAGCGCTCGCAGCTGTCACTGGGTTAGTGACAGTTTCTTGCATACGTACAAAAAGATTTCTACATTAATCTTTTGATTTATGATAAAACACAGAAGTGAATTAGTGCTTCATTTGAAGGTGCACTTTGTAACATTTCAGGTGGACAGTCCGCTAACTTCTTGTCTCCAGAGAGATGTAATTGTTTTGCGTATAATTTTTCACAATATGGTGTTAAACATAACTAGCTCTCTAGAGACAAGTAACTCACCTTCACAGCGAGAATGCATGTTTGTAGCAATAAAAACAGAACTGAATAAAAAAGTAAATGTCATAATGTAATATAATATCACCCCAAAGAAAAGTACATAGTGCACCTTTAAACACACTGTACAATTAAGAATATCAGATTGTAGTGTTTTATTCTCAAGAAATAACATGCTTTTATATTTATTTGCAATTACTAAGACCATGACCAAAAGTCTTTAGTACACTTATACTGCTTGCCATTCCTCTGATATGTGACCACAGACCAGCTTGACACTTTAATATAAACAACTGCATAAACAACTTTCAAATAGTATTAAATCTAATATTTTTTGCCTCTAAAGTATTTGTAATTTCCAGATTGTCCCATATTGGCTAACGGGTCATGCTTGTCACTTTTCTCATTAGTTAGATCTACGGCCCATTGTAAAGTCCTGAACACCTTGCTTTGAACATCTGTGCAGGGCAGTGGGGTGGCACAGAGGATAGCTGTAAATCTTATTTTTCACATTACAAAAGCACAATAAATTTCCCCAGAAACTCTCAAGACAAAGTTTTCTGTCTGACCCTGAAGCCTTTATGTTAATGATTGTGACCTGAACTTCTCACCTCACACTCCAGGAATTTCTCGGAGGGCTTCAATAAAGAAAGTCATCACAAACCAGAAGTTACACACTTTTTTTTAGCACCATCAGGAAAGTTAAAAAGTGCAAGCTAAGATTTGTGAATCAGAAAAGAGTAGCCTTTAAACATCAATCATTTTTAGTTTTTTTCCATAAATATATGAGAAGTTTCCTTCAAAACTTCAAAATGACTATATTATTTAGTACAAACATGGTACAAACTTTGGCAGCTAGTAAGACTATAAGTTCACATTCTTTTTGACTTTCAGGACTATTACAGGTAAGTAGGCTTTGTCAGTTTGATTTCTGCATTATTAAAAGCTTACCCACAATCAAACTCTATACTCAATATAATAGTTGCCAGTTAGTTTTTGCAATGTTGCTTCGATTTCATTCTTGAAAACTGAGATTTCCATTTGAGAGGTAGTATTTTCGCTTCTGTGCAATGTGATGTTTAGTTAGGCGACATATGAAACAGTTCTGTCTAATTCTAGGGATCTATTGGTTAACATACCAAAGGCTAAATCGAACTACGGTTTTACTAAGAGCCAAACCTAAACTGGATTTTAAACAGTCTAGGATATTCTGAGGCGGATCTCACGTCTCTGGGTCACTTGGTTTAACTTCCATCTCCCAAAATGTTTACGAGGAGGGCCTGGACCGGACCAGATGTTGCCCGTCAGAGGATGTTAAATGACAGAAAAGGTTTGATCCGAAAACCAAGATAAAAGACTTTTGTGGATTCTTGAGAAAGAGAGCTGACGTAATATTTTGTGTTTGAAGTTTGATACACATCCTCTTAATAAAGCGTGTGAGACCTACTGTCACTGACAATCCTTTTGTAAAGGCCAATAATACTGTAAATAAATATGTTGTCTACAGGTGTCAAGTGCTGAAAGAAAAGGTGCAATTTTCCAGTGATTTTCAAGCTCAATTTAGTCACTTATTTGGACATAAATTACAAATACACTTTGATCTCTCCAGACACTTGTATCTGCCAGAAACCTTGGGAATCCTGGTGTTATAATTCTTAAAATTAGAGATGTTGTGTTCACATGTTTCTCCCTGGACTCTGCTGTGATGACAACGAGGAGGGACACTTTTGTCCCGGGGACTCTTCCTCTCCTCACACTACCCTGACACAGGATCTGCTGACCCTACCTGACCATGTCTCCTCTTATGCTGCACTGAGAACTAAGGAACAACAAGCTTGTGAGAATTGTTTACAAACTCACTGAAATCCAGCATTCAAGGACCAAAGCGATCCCCTTTTCCCAAACTTTCCAGGGCACTTGAACAATCTTTAGCTGGAGTAAATGCCAGTGTCCATTGTAAATCCCCTGAACAGTCTGTTCTTTTGTGTATACTGTGAGTTCAGGTTGGAGGTACTCACAAGGGTTGGAGTTGGACTGGACTGTGGCTTGGCTCCGGTCAGATACAGGGGGTTGGACTCTGTTGAAAGCTGTTTGTGACAATGAGAAACAGACAAGAAAAGGTGAATGCATACTAAAAAACATATTACCAACATGTGTGAAAATGATTTGTCTTTAAAATATGAATCTTGTTTTAGGCAGTTTTAATCTTATTTTAGTTATTCCATGAGTCTGACTGATATATAGCTCGAAATAGACCACAAATTCGCCAATAGGGTAGGACATTTTTAATAAAATAAAAGTGCAAGTTTCTAATCCTACTGGCGATATATAATTTAGCTTCTATAACACATCTGTATTAAAACATGTCATTTTTTTTTAAACAAAACAAAAGGTTTAATAAGTAAATCAATCTAAACTCAAAACATCTCAAATCAAAATAAATATTCAGATTTGAGGTCATTTCACCACATTAAACATTTGTAGTGTAAAGTAGATGCATGAAGCTATGATGTCATGCTCTGTAAAAACGCCTCCCATCTGTTTAGCATGAGGCTAAGTCAAAGCATCAGTAGTGTTTTATAATAACATCAGATAGAAATGACTTTTACAAGACTTAGTTGCGTCATGTGGCCTTTTTCTTTTGATGAAAATGGACACAGAGAAAGACGAGGCTGACAGTGGTTAAGTGTGTGTAGAGATACTTGATGGGAGTGGATTAACTGCGACCCGGGGTGAAACTTTTTAAGGGGCTTAAAAGGGTATGGACTCCATGGCCCAACTTACCATGTCAGTCTAAATTCAAGCTCCATGTAAGAATGCCCTTGACCTGTTTTTACCCCTGTGTGTGTGAGCGCATATTTATCACATCATGAGAACTGAAATATGTATACAGTACAGTCACTTCGACCTTATAATTAATAGAGACAAAACATTGGGTATGAGTAAAGCCTGGAATATTCATCACAACCTGTAAAAGGTGCACTATGTAACCTTTCGAGCAACCATAGGGATGTTATTGCTTTTCCTGAAATTTTCCTAAGTATAACATTAAACGTATCAAGCTGGTGTTTTTCTACTGTGAAAAATGTGTGCTTTCTGTGACTGGTGTCTTCTCTCCAAAAATCTGACCTATGGCTTGGCTTAAAGGTGGAGACTAGACTAGAGTTTCCACAGTGATGAGTTTAATGCCATGCTGTGGAACATTCTAGGCTAAGAAGGTAAACCCACCATGAGAAAACCTTTAAGGTATGGGTTAATTTTGGTTAAAGTTAGGGTTAAAGTTTATGTTAAGGTTAGACAAGTAGTAATTGTGGTTAAGGTTAGTATCAGTCCAAAGGAAATGAATGTAGGCCAATGTAATGACCGCACAGAGCAGGGAAACTCAACATGTGTGTATGTGGAGTGATGATTCTGACCTGGCCCCACTGGAGAGGACGGCTGTCTCCTTATGGTTGCTGAGGTCTCTTGTCTACGGAGGCCTGCAGGATCCAAAATGAGTGACATGTTACTTAATGCAGTCCCAATGGGGGTGTAGTGACAGGGATCACATCTGTGCAGCAAATGTAGAAGACGTAATGGACCACAATCAAACCGTTTCTGTGTCTGTGGAGTTTCAGTGTGGCCCCTTTCTTGCATTTAATCTTTCTTTTTCTATCGCTCTATGGTTTTAATCAGAATTGGACTGAGCTTCTCATGTAAGCAGACAAAAAATCACAAGTTAAGAATGTGCTTTGACAATTTGGGAGGTAAACATAGCAAGAAATAGCCTAATAAAATATTGTATTTGGCATTCATATACAATCAAATTATATCCCTATTGAGATTTGAATACCGACAAAATGGCTTTAAACAAAAAAACCCTGTTATAATATACACAGCAAGAAACAATCCTTGTCTTGTGTGAATGGGCCAAAGACAGTCGATATTAGAAATTATTAGATTCACTCTTGACAAAAACAATCACATTAAATTGGCAGAACAACGTGCACAGATGCCATGCAGACAATATTAAGCAAAGCAGGTTTCCACGAAGCATTTACAAACATGGAGCTTGTTTTACCTGCACTGATTCTCTGTGGGAAGCGGCCGGGATAGGCTCCTCCTCTGAAGACTGAAGATGTTTGTGTTTAGTTATCATTTTAGTATGAGGAGGTGTAAAGGATGTACTCACAGTGACAGGAGAGACCTTACCGTGAACAGGACTCTTCCCTGCTCCACTCTGGGATTGTCCTGTACCAGTGGTGATATTAAAACACAGTGTATATAATGTGACTGACCTATCATAGTAGCACTGCTGTATCATGCTCTACTGCCCCACAAAGCCACGGCTAAATGCACATTTTGTATTTACAAATGTTACAAATGTTGTCAGTCAATTGCTTGTCTCTATGGAGATGTCATTTGCCTGAAATATCCACAGTATATCCTTAACCTTATCTAGCAAAGAAATAACATCCCCAGAGACATGCAGGTGTCAGCTTAGGTTCACAAACTACTATTTCACATATCTTGGCATTAAAGGAAATATTGTAAGAGGACTTTACTGAAGAGAAAGTACTTTTATGGTAGTCAATATTGCAATGATTTCCTAATTTAGTTTTCATCCTTGAAGATGTAAATAAGGTCGAAAAGCTCCAGAAAGTCCTTGTTATGTAAGTGGAAATCATAATTTTTACTGTCAAGTCTTTTATGAAAAAGGTCAACTGTAATTGTCTTGTGTTAAAGAAAACTGGAGAGCTCGTAATTTTAATGATCCATTCCTTGCTATAACATCTGTTCACTACATAACACCACTTGACTTGGAGGGAAAGAAATCTTTGCTTGCTTAGTGCCGAACTGAACAATGGATTTTGTGATCTTATGGTCTTTGTAGGGCATTATTGGTGAAGACATCTGAGACAGTAAGATCTATTCATTCATTTATGGATAATGTTTAGTTAGATTACAAAGCTGAGATGTTGATGACAGTCAAGCATTCACTCATGTTCACTGAATACATGCATTTCTGTGTACAAAGATGTCAAAGAGGATTCACTTTGTAGACTTCATTTTAAAAGACAAGAACCACCACCATGCAACACCACCATGCAACCCACAAGTTCACTGATCAATTATAACATTATGAACAACTGCCTCATATGTAACAAACTGTAATGCATGAGTTAAACAGCCTTACAGCCTTCTCTCATTGGTTTGACACTGTTTTATAAAGCTTTATATAGTCTGTTCCCAGGGGCCTCTTCTTGTGAGACATGCCAGGAACAGCCAGGAACACCAGGAACACCTTCAGAGAGAAGCATCCAGGATACATCTAAAACAGATGCCTGAGCCACCTCTGCTGGCTCCTGTGGATGTGGAAGAGCAGCAGCTCTACTCCAAGCTTCTCCCATGTGACTAAGCTCCTCCCCTATCACTTGCTGCCCGATTTGTGCCACCAGCTCGGGCTGTGCACTTAAAGGACCCATTTGCTATTTTGTGATCTATGCTATAATGTTGTTTTCTCAACAAAACATACCCAGAGTTGTGTTTTGTTTCATTTACACTTGTTTAACACACAAACTCTGCATTTTTAGGCTATGTTCTTCTCTCAAATACAACACTCTGTTCCACCTTGTGATGTCAATGTGGTAATACAGGAAGTGCTCCACTGTGTTAAACTCCACACAACTTGACTAGAATCATTTGGATAATTTCACCCCTATCAGTTTTACTAAACTAAAGGTAGAAGGTAGCTGTTAACGTCATGATATCACAAGGTGGAGCATAGTCTAAGCATTGCTCATAATGCCATGAATGTACAATGTTAAAGACACATTCAATCCCAAGACCAGCCATGCAAACCCATCACCATATTCACACATTTCATGCCCCCATTAGCCCAAATATAAACCATGCTTGACCCTTGCTGTTTAGGACCTACTTACTTGTACTCGCTGCTGCCACAGAGGCTAGGTACGGGTGACTGCTGCCTGGATGGGGAGACACGGCAAGACGGAGACGCCGAAAGATAAAGTTACACAAAATGAAAGGCAAGGCACCGTCTGGCCCTCATCCCATCTCATTTACACACATACCTTTAGATACTGCACCATTGTCTACACACTGGGCCCCTCTTTTATCCGAATGGAGAAGATGGTTTAGATCTGATAATATTTTCATTTTAATTAGAGCGATGAAAGCTCCACTGATCACATGCACAAGCAGGCACCAGCTTCATCTAAACTAGTTGTAATTTGTTGTAATTGTGACTGGGCAATTACCAACCGCAATCAGTGGTTTTCATCGCTCACTTTTAGCAAAATGAAAATCTTTGTTCAGATACAGCGTTTATAGAGCGCAGTGGCCAAAGTTTTTCACATACAGTAGATTTGATCATGTGAAAAAGCCCACCAGCGTAAAGGCATTTTGGTAATGCGCCCAAATGGGAACTATTCAGGCAAAAAATGATGGTGTTTTCTTTGGGAATTCATCTGTCATCATTCAGGCTGAATATAAGACATAAAACAGAAAGCATGTGTTGAAAATATTCTCCACATGTTTTATCATACAGAACAGATTTAAACAACACTGTTCTTCTGCACTGGCTGTTTCAGAGATATACCACTCAATAATTAAATACATGTGCAGAGCTTTTGCACAGATTATACATTCCTATGTAAGATAAATAAACTTACTGCTGAGTGAAACAAAACCATATGGCAACCTACATAGAAAATATTTAACTGATTGAATAATAAAAATAATATTGCATGGATTTATAGAACATCTTTAGAGGCACCCCGTAACACTTTACATTACTTTACACTTTGCATTATTCATTCACACGCGGTGGTCTGAAGCTAATATTGTAGCCACAGCTGCCCCTAAGGACTGATGGAAGCAAGGCTCTCAATCTACACCATCAGTCCCTCCATAGGCAATGTGGGTCAAGTGTTTTGCTCAAGGACACAATGATATTTTGAACATAGACACTGCTGCTCCACTGTGGCATCTGGTATTCAAAGCAGTCCAAGTACCAACTAGGTGCGGCCTTGTTTAACTTCCTGACATCTGATGAGATCGGGCATCGACTGGCTGGCTTACAAACAGTAAAATGCTCATAATTTTGCCACTGAATATTCATTGTTTTTTGTAGACATGTGTGTATTTTGTAAAAATCGTCCTATGTATGCAGTTGAGCTAGAAGTGTTATGTCTTTAAAGTGCAGGTCTACAGCAGCTTCTAAATATCTGTTCTCAGTATGGCTTTGAACACAACATTACAATGCTCTGAAAAATCACATTATGATTGTAAAAACAAAGGTGGACAAAAAGCTATCCTTTCCTGTTTTATTGGGAGTGCAGGAGTGCCCTCCAACTCACAGATGAGGTCAAATATCTTGGACATTATGTCACCAGTGACCTCTCAGATGACAGAGACATGTATAAGCTCTATGGTCACGGCAATATGCTTGTCCGTAAGTTCTCCATGTGCTCCAGTGATGTCAAAATCGCACTTTTTAAATTTTAAGTTTTAAGCACTTTTAGTTTTTAAGCACGTTTCAAGTTTCTGCTCACCCTTGTATACTGTGCATCTTTGGAACTACAAGATAAAGAGTTTGGAGAGTTTCACAGTGCCCTCTAATGTCTCTTTGAGAATATTACTGAAAGTGCTGAGGTTGAAATGTTTGTAAATTGTGGTGTGCGATCCTGTGTTGTCACAATCATGTTGTATTTATTCATTTATGTGTAGAGCCATGAATGGGCAATCAAATCATTCAGTGTGTCCTGTGAGGAGCTCTGTCAGATTCAACTCTGAGCTGTGGAAACACTAGCGGTCTTGTCTGTAAACATTATAACATGCGCTGTATATTTACATTATTATTTTATTCTTATTTTTTTATACTATGACCCAGATATCATGTGTTAATAATGATTGAATTGAACTGAACCATTCTTCTTCTAATGCCTTTTGGACAAAATATCATCATCTCTACATCTTGAGGAGTTGGTTTGAAGCACCTGGCTGGAGGAATGTTTTGGGTTGTGAGCTGAACATCTCATCTGTTATCATCTTACCAATTTTTTTCATTTACCAATATGGATGACTAACAATCTCTTCCTCAACTGAGCTGAGATGTTTTTTTGTTTTTTTTACTCTAATTACCTGAGGACTGAAGTGTTGTGCAAGCCTGTCTTTACTTACAGACTACAAATGACTGTACATATATACTGACCTATTGAAATTTTGCTTTGTCCCCTTTCTTTAGCTCACCTGCGTCCCTGACTTTATGCACAGCGGCCCTGGCCTTGGTTGTGGTGGTAGTGGGGGGAGCAGTGGTGGTTGTCGGGGCCTCTGTGGTGGTTTGGGTGGTCGTGGGCTCCGGTGTGGTGGTGGTTGTTGTGGGCTCCGGTGTGGTGGGGGGAGGTGGGGTTGAAACTACTTGGGTCTTGACCTCTTTTTGACCTGAAAAATAAAGTTTGGTATAGACTTATGAGGAGGGTGTCGATAGCACTGGTGTAATGCATTCCTGTCATTCTCCAGTAAACTGTGCGGTGCTGACTCCTGGTTTAACCCCCGTGAACTTCAACATGCTCAGACCAATATCCGACTTCAAAAAGTTTCATCTGCTGCAGGTATGTGAAACTACAAGGTGTCCAGGTAAGAGCCAGGTTTAGAAAGAGTTTGGAAGAGGAGGAAGTCAAAATTATGAAATATTTACTTACAGCGACTGTTCATTTGAAAGTGAATTTTAAATGCTGTAATTTGTTAAAAGATGCATAGATGTAAACTATTTTATTTGCTGTTTGTCCATAGTCATGTAAGGATACTATTATTAGCACTCAAAGGCTAAACTTTCAAGGAGCCACTCCTTCATTTACACGAATATTTATAGAAAATTTTGTTCTGAAAACATGTTCTGAAATGCTTGAGATTCTTCTATTAGTTTATCACTTCATGTCAATCTTCTCTCAAATGTTGGGGCTGTTTACAATGTGCACTTAGAACAGAATCCTACTTTCTGAAACATAAATCACAAGTCTAATCACAATACTTCAGAGAAAAAGTGCATTTTTTCCAAATTCATGCAACCCTAGTCTATAATTTATGATCCAAATTATTCATTGTGATGAGTTTATAAACGATTTTCACAACTTTCAGAGGCCAAAGTGGAGTTTTACTGTCACTATAATACAAACCACAACTCACACCAAGCGCACCTCCTGGTCCTTGGACAACAAAACTTTTAAAGAGGATAAGTGTGGTTCCAGGTCTTTAGTTACCTGTGTTTCATGGTTCAGTGTTGAACCTTATTGTTTGTTGGAGTGGAATATTTCACAATATGACAATAAACATGTACATCCTCCATTTATTCATTTTTTTATTGCTCAGAAATAATTGTATTGTCAGAACTAATTCATGTTAAAGGTTTGCAGTACATGGTCTGAAGTTATTCCTCCCTTAACTTATGCACTCCGAATATCCTAATTACTCACCATGATGAGTTTATAAGCACTTTTCACAATTTTCAGATGTCAGTGTGTAGTAGTCTGTGGCAGCTAACAAACAGCTAACAGTAATTAGCATGCTAATACGCATCCTTTTTGTTGTTTTCAGACAATACAATGTCTTCTAATTAGATGCAAGCAGCACAAAGCATACTTACTTTGATCTCGAGAGCTGCTTATAAAATGTATATGTGCTAAGATGTATAGTTATCCTAAATAATTTCAATAAGCATTCAGAAGTCCTACTTGGTTTCACGTAAGTGGGTCTTGAAGGCACATAGTCCAGTGTAGATGGATATATCACCCCTTTCTTGGGTTTTCCAACTGAAAATAAAAGAAACACATTTCAGAGAGACAAAAGAATCTTGTGCTTTCTTTCTTTTAATGTAAATGTCTCAGATGTGTTTTCATGTCTGTGGTCTAGTTGGCTTAATGTTTAATGTCAAGGAATGTGTCTGTTGTCGTCTAATGGAATGTTTAATGCATTTACGTGCCTTTGGACAATGGATGAGAATTAGCTGTTGTGTTAACTCTGGTATATTTATGTTGAAGCCATTTGTGGACACATTGATTAATGTGCACTGTCCTAATTCGAATAAATTAATAAATGAAATGAACATAAAGTTGTACCATAGACTGCAAAGGACTCTCTCCACTTGGGCAGAGAAAGGGACCTCACTCCGTTTGAGTTGGAGCCTTTGTAAATGCTCTGTCCCGCCATTTTCTTCACGATCACCTTTCCTCCCGTGTTTGTGATGACTCCACTGCAATAAGATACCAAGAACTAGTGTTAAGATTGGGAATTATTTTATTTTAGCTTTTAACTTATAAACTTTTAAAGGTGAGCTATGTAAGTTTTTCAGTGAAGGGTCTGCCACCTGGATGTTTCCATAGAGATTTTATTGTTTTGACAGAAATATTCCACAGTATGAGAGGACACTTATCTATCTCGATGTCAGTCAGGTAATGCCACCAGACCAATCTGTGAAGATACAAGCCTCATCACTATAAGAATGTGTAACGCTATAAAAAGATCTGTAAAATATAAGATCAGAGGAGGGACCAAGTCATCGTTTTGCAAGTCTCAAGTAAGTCTCAAGTCTTTGACCTCAAGTCCGAGTCAAGTCCCAAGTCAAATACAGGCAAGTCCAAGTCGAGGCTCGAGTCACTGGCCCATAAGTCCAAGTCAGGCCCAAGTCATCTGCTTTGAGCTTCAAGTCATGTCAAGTTAAACTTTAAAGCAAAGTACCAAATATAGCTTAGATTTTAGCACTTTATTTGACTTTTAAGGTAAATTGTACTTACAAAGTCCTAGTATATTTATATATGCACATTTATAGAGTATATAAGAGTTGTAGAAATGCAAAATGTTCCTTTTTAAATGTCTTGGAGTGAATCATTACAGTCAGAATAGAAAGAATTCAGATTTAAAAATGCTTCTAAAGTCTTCACAAGTCCAAGGCCTCAAGTCCGAGTCAAGTCTCAAGTCTTAGTCCATTTTATCAAGTCAAGTCTCAAGTCCTAAAAATAGTGACTGAAGTCTGACTCGAGTCCAAATCACGACTTGCAAGTCCCCGTCTATGCATAAGGTATGGTGAAATATTTCAGGCAAAGCAATAACATCTCCATGGAGACAAGCAGGAGACAAGCCCTAAACCAGAGAAGTTACATAATGCACCTTAGCTCATTACAGTTGTACCTGTGAATAGCGGCATTGCAGATACTGGAGATGGATGCGAACACCCCTGTCCCATAGACCTGCTGCTTGGTCTCTTTGCAGTGAGCTGGACACTTCACTATGAATTCTGGGAGGTTGATTTTTCCTGCTCTGACGTCGCACTCAATTGCTGGCACCACTACAAAACACCAAATCACAGAGTGTATTTCATATATTTATTATATGGACACATCAGGTCAGTATGAGAGGGCTACAATGGACAGAGGCGGAGTCCTAAACAGATTGGAGATTAGAGGCATGTGCTGGTTATGATAATGGTGGGGGTACCTTGCTTTGGCTTCTTGCTCTTTGATCCGTTTGGCTTGGCCCGGCAGGCGCAGGACAGGAGCAGGGCTGTGTGCAGGGAGAGTGGGGAAAGGGAAAGCCATAAAATCAAATAACTGTTTACACTGTGCAATGGGAGAGGCTGTTAGCGCAACCATAGAAAAGAATAGAACAGAAGAGATATGAACCAGCGTAGAGTCAGAATGGCTTTATTACAGAGAAGTTGTAAATTCAAGGGCAATTTTGTCACCAGTCTAAACTGAAAACTGATAAACAAGACTAATTTTAAAGGCATTGTGCCTAATTTTGAACTATGACTGAAGAACATCTGTCTGTGATAGTCGCAGGCAGTAATTTTCATATGGTTCTCACTGTCTCTGATTGGATGACATTGTCATTCACTGACAGTTGCTTCCCGATGCTTTTCATTCGTAAAGAAGAAACTTCTTCTAAAATGTATAGGTGATATCATTCAGTCGAGTTGATCAACACTGCTTTAGTCGGGCTATTCCATACCTGTCTTATGGACAATGTATAGCTTTGAGACAAAGATTTTACATCAGATGCCCTGCCAACATATTACAAAATGCATCTATTTTCACACTCTGATGAATGGTGCTAATTAGGGGTGTGCAAAAATATCAAAATATCGATATATCGTATCACTTAATGTGCTGATACAGTATCGATGTCGTGGGCTGCTGTATCGATACATCACCAAGAGTGTTTTTTGGTATATTTTACAAATTTATTTTGTTACAGCGCTACAGTTTTGTTGCTTGTTTAGTGGAAGGAGATTTGTTTATGCAGCACATTTGACATTTTCACTGTTTTGATGATTAAAATGGGTGTGTTTCATGTTAACTTTGGACAAGAAGTGGTTAACAAAGACTTTTAGTATCACAGCCATGATTTGGCCTGTATTATTTATTGAATCTTATCAAATCAATTTGATATATATTGTATTAAACTGTATCGAATCGAAAGTTCACTGTATTGAGATAAGTATAGTACCGTGGCCCATGCATCGAGGTATATATCGTATTAGTAACTTCTTAATGATACCCAGCCTTAGTGCTAATGGCCTTTTATGATCACACCAAATATTAAATAAGAAGTATTTAGATTTGACAGCGTATGCGAGATAGAGTACACTTACCTAAACAGATGGTAGATAGTGAAGCTCTCATGTTGATGCAGTGAAGTCCTAAAAGAAGCAGCACAGATAAGAACTGTTATCTCCGTACAACATTATAACTTTCCCTGGGCATTTGAAATACCTTGAACTCTATTTGAGTCTTACAAATATTCTCGACAAGGCCAAACCACTGATGTACACTTCCCAGAGCTAAAGGAAGCTACAGTCTCAGGTGGATTCTCACAGTAGCTAAAGACATGTTATATGTACCAAAGCTAAAATCAGGGTCAATACAAGTTCAAGTAATATCTGTTATTGTACACTAGAGAAGACAATATAGTAATAAAAGGTGCACTACATAACTTTTCTGGGGATGTTATTGCTTTACCTGAAATATTCCCATGCTTTAAATAATAGATTTACTGCTATACTGTGGGAAATTCCTGACAAAGAATAGCATCTCCTGAAGAAAAGTATGTACCACTACCACTAGAAAAGTTACATAGTGCTCCTTTACCACCAAATATCTTCATAGAAAATAAGGCAAGTGGGACCTACCCAGATCCTGCACCTGCCATAAGAGACGGTAACACAGAAACCTGTATCTGCAATATATACACAATCTGAGACCAAGGATATCACATGGGGCTCTTCAAAACTTCCTGAACATTTTATCACAATAGTTGGAGTTATCCTTTCAGACAAACGGTGAACAAAACATAACCTGAAAAAAAACAACTCCAACCTGGAATCTAGTATGGTATTAACACAAGAAATGGATCAGTAATATTGATATAACACATGAATGCCCCTTTTGCAAACAGATAATTTAAACTATATCAATGTTTTGAAGCTTAAATCCACAATATGTAACTTTTCAGCTCAAAATGTACTAAAATAAAAGCTTATCGTTTTACTTGGTGCACTAAAAAAGATGCAGCCTTACTTATTTGGCCTGGAGGAGGGCCTCTGCCTACTTGTTTCCATGTATGTTGTTCCACTGGCATACAACTTATCCAGCTCTATGAAGAATGTTCCAAAGTCTGGTTTTAACTATGGTTTTAACTTTCAATTACCATGAAAGCATGCAGGTGACATGATGCCACCTTCAGAAAGTTTCATAATGTATCTTTAAATTTTGCCAATATATCAGGTTTAACCTCAATATAGCAACAGTAACTGGCCTAAACAGTTCTGTACTTTGTCAAATGACTTTTGTTTAACTCCAGAGACCACATCAAGGTTTGACATGTTTACAGTAGATTCTCTGACTGCCTCTGCTTTTCATTCACTATTCATTCATGTTAAAGCATAAATCATTGCGATAAGACCAACAGAAGTAGGTCAGGGTACTGTCTCCACCTACTTAATGATAAATAGCGCATGCAATATTAGGTATTTGGTGTGCTTTGGAAACTCTAATTTCAACAGGGAGCAGAGCAGAAGTCTACCTCCAACACGACCTAAGTCATGTCTGTCACTACAACACGCCCACAACTGAGGGATAGCTCTATAAAGTACAAATACATCAGTAAGCAAATAGAATACATGTATTGACTTGACCTTAATGATGCATATGAAAATGAAATGTGATTTAAAGCTACAGTGAATGAGTGGTATGTGTAATGCTCAAAACGCTCACACAAATATACTTTTAAGGGCATATAGATCAGGTCTGAGGTGTCTTGCAAAAGGACTCAACAGGAGAGTTGCAATTCAACCACCAACTGTCAAATTATGGTGCAACCCCTTGACCAACTGAGTAACCAAATTCATGGGTGCTAAGAGTGATTAAACATTTGCCAAGTTGCCATAGTAATTACCAATTTTGGATGGTGAACAGTGCTCAGCATAAGAAGCTGAAATCCATGAATACATATCCATTTCCCTAACTCATACACATGCTCAACAATTTTTCAGTAATGTTACTTTTATGCAAACCAACAAAGTAACCTATGCAATTAGCCAACTACAATTACAATAAAAGTAGTGTACTACAGAATAGATAATGTTTATAATTATCATTATCATAGTTTGTATCTTTGAATGATCAGTTGTAGCTCAATGATTTGCATGTGGAGCGTGTTGTAACAGTTTGACTATCAACAAATGCCACACACACTACATCATAAAGTTATTTTATATATGACTTTTGGCATATGGCACTGAGGACTTTCCCTCACATGAACACTCATAATCACTGACATCAAGTTTCCATTGAAGCTGACAGAAACATCACACCTATTTGTCATTAAAGGAAAAATGAATGACTGTGGGCAAGCTGAGGCAGATCGTACAAGCACAGAGTGAAGAAGGGTCACAGAAACATACGCAGAGGAGCTTTATCAACACAACCCAGAGATGGTGCAGTGTTTTTATCTAACCATACACATTTTCTATTTTGGTCAAATAACAATATAAATGTATCAGTTATGTTAGCTGTTTGCATATAAAGAGCCAGGCTGAATGGCCAATTGACATATTTAGTATTCATGAAAACATGGTGTTGTCGCCTAGCCTGATTCATCAGCTGGTTTCACTTTGTGGAAACTGTCTGACCATTAGAATTCATTTGCTCAACGGTAGGTGGGTACTTTTTTCATTTAACCACTCGCTGCTATTTGCTATTCGTGACATATGTAATGTGCCGCTAACAGGGCTAACTGGTACATTAAGCTTTTCCCAAATCCCGTAGGAAGAAGGGCAATAATGTCTTTCCCCTAGATAAAATTCACTGATCATTCTCTTTGTTCCGGCTTTAAATCCTCAGTCTCGGGAATCATTGCCAACACAGAATGTATGGCTTTTCGCTGATTGGCTGGTGCCCGAACTCCCTTTTCTGGGGTTCTTGCAAACCATCTAGTGTATTCTGATTCCTGACCTAGTCGCTGGCAAGAAATTAAATTGAGCAGAGGCGCCAGTTGGCTAGTTGTGGCCTGGACTGTCTCAACAATAATGCACACTTCCACAGAATCATTTATAGACAAAAAGTCATGTCACCTGGCTGCCTCTCACTTTATCACCTCTTAATACATCACATACCAAATGCACTCTCTCTCCTTGATCCCATAGTTCCAGCTATATGCCTCTAGTGTGCTGAATTACCACTACCGCAACAGCAGAGTCATCAGCCTCCTCAGCTTCTCATAACCAGTGTCAAGGCCATGGGCCTCTTTCATTAACCCCATTTTACCAGTGGATAAGATGGTAATTCCAACAGTCTTCCCCATGGAGGTGTTATTCCTCAAGCAAAGGTCAAACAAAGCTTGAACGTCTTCATACATTATTCCATAGCAGTGCTTGTCCATCACTATAATTATAATAAACAATACTCTTTGCAGCAATAAGCAGAACTATTCCTTTTTACATGACCATCGTAACCAGCACACAGACAAAAATGCAAATAATCTGAGACATCTTAATTTCTATTCTCGCTGCAAGCCTCTAAGTGCCCCCTTCTCGTGCAATGAAAACCAAATGATATCCTTGGACAAACACGCCTGGGAGTTTCCTGTACAGTGCATAATAGATCCTTGGAGACTTCAGTCATTCATTCAACTATAGTGAACGGTGCGCAAACAAATGGACAAAGTGTGGCCTAACTTATCTTATGCTCTGATAACTTTGAAGAATGTAATGACATGACAGGCTATTCATGCAGTGTCCACTTAGCTGTCATAAATCACAGGCCAAGTCAGTTTGTACATATGTATGCTGCTCTGCTCCGTATTAGGAAAAAACAAGGCTTCAGAGCATAGGGTGGTATGAAGAAAAATGGGTTTGTACTGTAAGGGGCCCATGGAGTAAATAGACCATGAAAATGCTAACAATTACCAATGGAAAACAAACAAGCAAGGTTGAATTCACAGCTGCAGCAAGACATAAAAGGTGTCACTTTTTTTTTTTTTTTAAAGGAGATGTGCATTTGTTGATTGATTCATGAATGTTTGAGTAATCTTTATTCTTCTGCGTTCAAGATGCAATTGATTCCTGTTTCTGGTTTATAGAGTGTGGTTTGCATGTTCTCCCTGTGCCTGAGTCCTCCAGATACTCGAATTTCCCATCAAAACATGCAGGCCAAGTTGGCAAAAGTATAGTGACTACCTTGTTCACTGAAGAAGTTTATATTTTGGCATGGTTGCTTTGGTTCTGGTTTAGTCCTGGGTTGTCTTTTTATTTGTTTATTTTAACATTATCATCAAGCAGTACTCCTCCTCCCCAGCATCACTTTTGCACAGGATTCATTAATTTCTTCAAGGCTTATTTTAACCAACTCCAGTGTCTAGACCCTGGGGGAAGAGTCTTCTGTCATATCTGGCTCTGCACCTCCAGTGCACCGCTCATCATTATGTCTAAGCATTCATTCATTTTCCTCAGTGCATTCATTTCTCCTCTTGAGTCTGTCCAGACTGAACTGCATAATGTTCTTATGTTACTCCTGATAGAGGAACCTTTTACCGTTTTTACTCCTGTGTATATAAATGTTTTTGCTCTATTCATATGTTTTTCACTGTTTTAGTACTATAATCTCAATAAAGCATTATGTTGAAAGTTAAAGTAAGTCCTTGTGTGTAAAAAGTTTCAGAATCACTGTTCTTTGCAAAGGGCAAAGTGGCCACTTTGTGCAAACTCCGTCCTCTCAGACGGGTCACATAGTTGTAGGTATTAAACAGTAGCTCATTACAGGATCACATTCTCTACAATGTGGATTAACACGCACCAAAACAACCCAGACTGAGAAGCTACGCAAACTACAAGCAGGCTACTATACTTCTTATATGAAGAAATTAACGCTAAACAAAGGCTGTCAAAATATAAACCGCAGGGGGAGTAGAGATACAATACTGAAACATGATCAACCAAAGAATTTGTTCATGTTCTTATTATGCTCTTGATTTCTCCAAGGTTGTCACAGCAACATCTAACTTTCTCTGCTGCATTCTCTTCTTTCATACCAACACACCTCACATCCATAAATTTTGTCTGGCAGTTCTGAACTCAGCATCCCTCTACCATATGTTATCCCCAGTGTATGCAACTATAAACAATGTCTATTCAGCCAGTATATAATTTTAAGGTTAAAGAATACTTTATTAAGCTCTTGAGAGAGAAATTAATTCTCTGCATTTGACCCATCCTTCAACCAATGCTACTGGCAACATGTCAGGAGAAGTGAGCTACTGCTGTACAGTGCTCAGTGATCCATTGCCACATCTTGAGCTACAGTTGGTCAAGACAACTGTAACTGGAGGATTGCCTAGTTTGCATGTTTTAGGTTGATGGAGGAAACCCACCCAGAAATAGAGAGAAACCGGAACCCATGTGTTGCTGTGAAGCGTGACTTCTAATAAGACCTCGCCCTCTGATGTACTCTTTCATAATCCAATTCATTTTGGTCATGAAGCAAAGAAAACCTCAGGACCTTCAACACTACTTGTCTTTTTCTCTTTACAAGAATCTTTAAACCATACAACATTGCTGAACTGGCCAGTAGCCTAACAAGCTAAGTGCAACAGGAGAGGGCGTAGAAAGAAATCATCAGAAAAAAAACACAACTACAGTGATGTTTGACCTATAAAAACAAAAAGGGATAGCTGCTTCTCTATAAGTGAACAACGCCTTAAGATCACATGCACTTAAGTGTTTGTGAGAACTTTTAATGAAAAAAAGCACTATGCCCTTACAAAACCTTACATACCTCATCCCCACCCCAGTGATTAAAATGACTAATTGTTATTGTTAGAATACTGCTAAAAGGCACACTTAACAGTGCCACTTTGGAGGGTAATTTACCGTTTGTGCCTTTGTTGTACCAGTCTTCAGCCACAAGAACTTTAATCATTGGATTTATATACCGCCTTTCAAGACACCCAAAGCGCTTTACAGTATTATTCATGCTTATTCATTTACTCCACGCTCTGTTGATGGATGTGAGGCTGCCAATCTGCACCAGCGGTCCTTCCGACCACAACCAACACTCACATACACACCACTTTCATAGTAGGCAGCGTGGGTGAAGTGTCTTGCCTCAAGAGACAACGACAGTTTTTGCCACTGGCACCTCCCTGTGGTACTTGATATTTCCAGTGGTCTCCCATCCCAGTACTAACCAAGCCCAGCCCTGCTTCACTTCTGAAATCTGACAAGATCAGGCTTTGACCAGAACAGCCACTGAAGAACTGCTTCTTACAGCCATAATCATTCCATGAACAAAAAAAAAATCATCAATATACTTCCAATGCAAATATCTGATATATCTGTGATTAACAAACAGAGAAAAGGCAATAAGTATCCTGGTTAATCAATTTCACAGCACAACTGACGCTGTACATGACTCCAACCTCTAGTGGCAGGCCACCCAAGATTATGTTCTTCCCTGTATCACATGGCAACGGGTGATATTCCCAAACACCGTCTCCTCACTGTGGTTTGAACTGCACCAGCAGAGATTTGATAACACAGGTAACTACATCACACCTGCCTCGTCCCAGCAGCTGTAATACAAACAGGATGCTCAGTGCCTTTTCAAAGGATGAATCACAATAGAACCAGACTACACACACCTGCACCAAGCATGGCCTCAAAGGAATCTGCACGGCATACAGGGGAGTAAAAATCACCAATTTCATGTTATGCCAAAAGCAGTTTTTCTCTCCACTCCACAATAAACTTAAACGAAGTGTTGGACCTATCATATTCTGGCCCTAGGTGAAAGAAAATCCTCAAAAGCCATAAAATGTTAAAATGCAAATTAAACTTTATTTGCAATTCAACTTCGGTCCAAGAGTAGCCCATTTAACAGAAAACAACATAGGCCAAAATGAAGTCAACTCCGTCAACTAGCCCATTGAGGAAGCCATATGAGAAGCAGTGAGAGCAGTTTTTACAGTGCTGCTGCGTGAATGGTATATTACGCACACACACCCGGTGCCAAGACGTGTTAAACTCTAGCTTTCAGAAGTGTCAGAAACGCACTAGCGAGGGTAGATGTGCCAAGTGCTGTACCAACAAGCCAGCAAGCAACCAGCAGAGATCAGACGCACAGGAAAACTAACAAGTCTCTACAAGGTCATCTCTGTAGCTTTTTGGGGTGCTTCTAGGCCAATTTTTGTTTTTTTGAACGCAGACTGAATTACTTTAATTCTTGGCACAGGTTGCGTTGCAAGCCAGAGCTTGTAGCGTACTGCTGCTGCTGGACATGTTGTATATGGAGAGACCACCTGCGCTTAATAAGCCTTCAAAACATAATCACGCAAGAAAGTCTAGCCTCTACGGGGGAAGGTCACATTTTAAGTAGAAACGATTATCTACTGGTTTAAAAATGTGCGGCTTTCAGCGAGACAGTCCGTGCGTAATTGAAAAAATAAGACACTTAAACAAAAACAAAATAGTTCGCTCTACACTTCGTTATAATCAGAAGAGAACCTGCGCAGCTACTCACATGAATGAGTGAGGGAACCTTGGAGAATAAAGAGCTTTTCAGTATTAGTTTTGGAAAATAAACAGTGCAAAACCAAAACATGAATTGGCAGCACTTTGGCACAATGCCCCCACTCAGTTTGCGCTGACATGTGAAACTTTTAAACCGTTTAAAGACAGACCGCAAAAACTCAATCTTACGATGATTAAAATGGCACAAACATGTAGTAGCTTATCTCAAGTGTTTCTGCACAGCAACAGTGAGCGATTAGTTAGAAATTATTAACTGATGGCACGCAAAGGCACTTTAATATTTAATGATAGGTTGCAAAAATAAAAGTTCTAATTACTCACCTGAAAACAGCTTAATCCTTTAGATGTTCAAAGTTAAATCCACCACATTTGCGTCCCCTGATGACACGAGTGCAGCGCGTCTGGTGTGTGCACTGCTCCACCTGGACTTGCCTCGGCCGCAGCGCTCATTAAAAGTGAAGGAGCGTGAGACGGGGCCAATGCTTCTCCCCCCTGTTCGTCTTTTGCCCGTCCCACTTGAGGTTTTGGGAGCGAGAGGAGACGAGCAGTATCCCGGGGCGATGTGGAGAGGATGCGGGAGCACATATCCACAGCTATGTAAGCATCTTATTATTCACATGTCGCTGTTGGATTCACTTTGATTTGAACAGAACTTAAAAAGAGTGATTTGCTTTTGGATACCTGCATACCTGGTTTAGATTCTTCTTTTAATGTTGCATACTCACACCTACTTCTTGACTGAAAAACATGCATCCTACTTTGAGTGGGGCTGCTCATCACTGGCCTGACTGTAGCTTTGCCAGGCCTGGTGGCACCTGCTTGTTTCCGTGGAAGTAAACACATTTAATGCTATACTGTCAAACATTTTAGGCAAAGCAATTCAGTCTCCATCGAAACAAGCAGGGAGCACACCACACCAGAAAAGTTACATGCCTTTTTAAGTCTTTGTTTACAGCATGCACAAAGCAAAAGCCGTGGTTTCCATTACAGCTTAAATAGACTCAAGAAGACTCACATTTCCATTTATTTTCTTTTGTCAAATCTGTTTGGGAAATCAAATGTTTGATGGTTATTTGTCATTGTTGATGTGTTGCAGTTCATTTGCATCTGTAAATACACAACTCTGTAAACTCTGTGTGTGGCATCATTGTAATCTTGTTTATTTATTCCAATTAGCACACCCAATTTACCTGCTGTGCTATTCTCTATATGCATGCTTTCCCCATATCATTTTGTTTCATTTTTTGTCAGTTTTTGTCACTTTGTCAAGATATTATTTCAGATTACATAGCCAAGCATTTGTGGATTAAAATCGTCTTCTCATTTCCTGCATCGCTTTGCAACATGGTATTTCAGAAGTCAGGTTATGGTCCCCCATGTGGAGTGTAGTAACAGGGGAGGTACTGGTATGATCAGGCCTAAGGATGAAAAGAGCAGACTTTATTTCTTCCAGATGCACCAGATTACATCCCTAAACACCCTATTGACTGCGACTATCTGTCAAAGAATACTCATTAATCTTCTTCCATTGTTTCAGTCAGGTTGGAGTTGCTGGATTGTGTCAGTAGCAGCTGCAATTATAGGCTATAGTGTAGTGTTTGAGCAGGACAGGATGATACACAGACAACAGCAGAGAAACTGAGAAATCAAAGAATGCACTCTCATGGGTATAGTTTTGAATGGTGATTGAAAAAAACAAAAAATAAAATAACAGCCAAATATGTCAATTATTGTATTAATTCTGCTTCAGAGACACTTTATATGTTTAGATTGATGCTTAACTGAATTCTACATAATATTAATTGCATTTCTTTATAAAAAGCAAATGTTTTGACAAGTAAGACTGGTAAGAGTTTATGTTACAACTAAGCAATGAAAAAGTGAGGTTGCCTTAAAAAATGCAATTAAAAAACACCTCTAAAATAAAAGCAATGCAGCTTTAGTCCATGCATGAGGTAAAATTATAAAATATGTTTATTTTCTAATTCCAAATGAGCTTAAATGTGCCGGTTGGAGGCAACCAAAGTGCCATATGTGGCCAGGGAGCTGTACATTGCTCAGGTCTTGTTTAGACAGAACACAATTAGTGCAGTGGTTGCCTTTTTGACCATGAGATCCATCTTTTTCAGTAAGTAATTTGGAGGCCATTCACTTATTTAATGAATTACCACAGTTCATCACCGCATGTGTTACCAGACAGTCTTAAACTCTTAAATTTTGCTGTCTCTGTGGCCATATCCTTTGAACCCAGCTCTTTTTAACTGACCTATTACTGGTCAGTGGCCAGAGCTACAGATGCCTAATCACTGGTTAACTGAGTGTGATCCGCCCACTTTCACTTATAGCTCCATAAACTGCCTATAAAGGGCTTGATTATAAGGAGAAATGCTGCAGGAAAAGAAATAAAAATAGTATAATATATAAAGAAAAAATCCTCAACACACAGAATTTATTAAATAATTACACACTTTACATAATTTATTAATGCAGAAAAGACAAAAAAATTTACAAAAATACAGTTAATCTTATCTGAAATTCAAGTATATATTCAGGAGAGGAGAGAAGGACTCAGAGCCGGTCACACTCGTACTCTGAGGTCTCGATATGGGAGGGGACATTCACATTGATGTCCTGAGGTCCGGAGGGGGGCGTCTCGGGGGGGCTGTTCACTCCTGAATCACTGTCGTTTCTGCACTTATCCTTCTCCTCTGTCACAAACCTCACCTCCTGCTTTTTTGCCCGGGCAGGAAGTGACACGTGCTGCGCGGCAGGTGGGGCTTCACCTTTCCCTTTGATATTCTTGAACTTCTTAAGGCGCACTACATCTTTTCTATCTTTGGCGCACGGGATGAGTACAGAGACATCTTTTCGAAATTTGGAGCTCATGCCAAAGTAGATAAGTGGGTTGTAGAAACTGGCAGATTTGGCGAACATTCGGGTGATGATGCTGGTGGTGTTTGGCACTTGGAAACCCCAGGCGGACCACATAGATACCACAGCATATGGGGACCAGGCCATGATGAAAGCAGTGCAGATTACAATGGAAATCTGCAAAAGGAAAGAGCATGAGGGAGTAATTGTCACGAGTAGTGGAAATTTACAGCTGTGAGGCCACTTTTAAAGTCGAGTAGTAAACTGTGTCTCAGCTTACATTTGCAATCAGAGGAAGGTGGGAGAGGTTAAGTATGTGTTTTGGGAAATAAAATGACATTGTTTAAAGTAGAGGATACAGATTTGGCAAAAAAGTACTCAGTTTAAGAGTGCACTATGTAGCCTTTCTGTTAAGAGTCCAGGACCAGGTTGTGTGTATGGAGATATGCTAGGGAGATTGCTTTCCCTGGAATGTGCCACAGTACTTCAGTAAACTTGTTTATAATTTAATTACAGGTGTTTTTATAATATGCATTCTATATAAAGATAGCTATATTTTAGTTATGTGCACGTGCTGTTCAGTTTATCACTATCTAATACTCAAATATCAATAAAAAATATTTACCCATTTTGAAATTATTGTTGTTATCTAGATGTAGCAAAAATAGTCACATTTTAGAGTAAAAGACTATTGTCACTTCAAAATATTACTCATGTAGAAGTAAAAGTGTGTCATTTAGAAACTTTGAAATACAAAAAGTTGAAAACTGTACTCCAATGCTCAGATGGCTCTGTGTGAGATTTTATTTCTTACAACACTTACCCGGGTAACGTCTCTCTCCACTTTCCTCTGTCTCGCAGTGAGGAGGCCGTCTGCGGACATGGCATTGGTGCTTTTGACGGTGTTGATGATGGAGACGTAGGAGGAGAGCATGATGACCACCGGGATGAAGAAGCAGAAGATCAGGGTCGAGATGATGTAGGATTTGTGAATAGTGGAGTAGTTCGCTTTGGACCAGTCCACTTCACATGTGCCATAGCCCCTGTCTGAAGGAACAAGATAAAACAAGCTTTTGTACAGCTTGGCACATTGTCTGGAAGATGTTATGATATCACCATGATAACTACTAGTCCCTACAAGTGTTGTTGCGCTAAAAACATTTCTAGTCAGTTTTGAAGCTAGGGGAAAGGTTTGATACTCTAAACTGATTTTGATACTGCAATAATGATAGAATCATTGTATTTTGGCAATTTTTAGACAAAGATATGAGTCAGTTGTTTTAGGCCTCATTCATTACTTTGCCTAATATAGTAACTTATTCACTATATAGTCACTTTATGCAGATAACCTATAGCCATGAGCTCTGGGTAATGACCGAAAGAACAAGATCGCAGATACAAGTGGCCAAAATGAGTTTCTTTCGCAGGGTGGCCGGGCGCTCAGTCACACGGGAGGAGGTCGGAGTAGAGCCTCTGCGAGAAAAGTCAGCTGAGGTGGCTCGGGCATCTGCTCTGGATGCCTCCTGGGCGCCTCTCTCGGGGGGTGTTCTGGGCATGTCCCACCAGGACGAGACCCTGGGGAAGAGACAGGACACACTAGAGAGACTATGTCTCTCGGCTGGCCTGGGAACACCTCAGGGTTCCCCCGAAAGAGCTGGAGGAATTGTGTGTGGAAAGTGAAGTCTGTGAGTCCCTACTAAGACTGCTGCTTCCGCGACCCCGCCCCGGAAGAAAATGGATGGATGGACTTTGTGCAGATTGTGAGGTTCATGTAACTGGGTAGAATCAGTACTTTGCAAGTTGGTCCATTTCCATTTGAAAAGATGCATTGAAATCTGTGCCATTTTGTTTACGCCAAAGTACCTTAAAAGTCATAAATCACAATCTCCTCTTTAACAGTTGTATTGCTCCGATTGGTTACAGTGTCTTACAAACCTGTGTAACTGCCCCATCCCATCAGAGGAGCAGCTGACCAAAACGCTGCCCCGGTCCAAATACAGATAAGAGACACGGCTATGGTGCTCATACTGATGCACTGAGCTGAAAGAGAGGGAGAAAGAAGGAGAGAGGGAGGTATAGAAAGAGAGAGGGAGGTAGAGACAGAGAAAGACAAAGGCAGAGAGAGAGGGAGAGAGAGAATATTTATTAGTTGCAGAACATTTGTCTGATTGTGTCCATTTGTATAAAGGTCAGCAAACACATGGAAGGGAAAGTGAGAGGCAAATCAAATTCCTGCACAGTAATGAATGCCAGAGTGTGATATTTTGAACAATGAAAGCAAATATCTGAGATTGAACAGATTGCTGTTGATAAAAGGAAGTGATCTATGGAAATGAATCAAATCATTTTAGCACTTCCCACAAACATCTAGAATCAATAGAAAGTAATCAGTTCTTATATGTACAAACTTGGAAGCTGTTTAAACCTGTTTTTAAAATATGTATTACATTATTATTATTACTTATTATTAATTGAATTTCTCAACATGAATGTTATTGATAATCCCACTTTCCCAACGTTTACCTGTCACAATATAATCCCTCTAAATAAACCAGTTAAATTAAATCAAACATCTAGACTGAATT